GATCCTCAAGCTGTAGACTCAACTGCTTGCTAGACATCTCCACTTGGATTCCCACAGGCCTCTCAAAATTCCTTATGATAGACTTACTTTGATAGCCTCCAGTGAACAGCATCTCCCGCTATTCATACGCTTGTGTGACTTTCCTTGAGTCCTATTTTACCTTGTTAACCAACAGAATATGGTGGAAACATCACTGTGTCACTTGAAAGCCTAAAATTTAAGAAAGGCTAGAAGCTTCTGCTTTCGTGTTCTTGGGAGTCCTGAGCCACAGTACAAGAACCATAGAGAGGCTGCTGGAGAGACCACTTTGAGAGAGAGAGAGATACAGCTGTCCCAGCATCCCAGCTGAGCCCAGCCCACAGCTGATCCACCAGCTGATTACAACCACACAAGTGACTGTCAGCAAAACCAGAAGAACTGTCCAGCTGAGCCCAGCCCAACTTGCAGAATCATGAGAATAACATTGCAGTAGTTAAGTCATTACCTTTGGGGGTCATTTTTTCCCTAACAATAGGTAAGCAAAGCATTCCTCATACCTAAAGCCAAACTCATTGTCTTCCTCTTTAGACCTGTTTGTCTTCCTGAGGTCAGCGTTTCAGCAAATGGCACTTGGCCTTCTTCTATTGCTCAACAATTTTGCTCCAGTTCAGGTTCTGTTCTTCTCTCCTCTCAACCTGTCTGGTCTTTGTACCTGCAGCCCAGTTTTTAGATCCAACTGCTGCACTGCTTCCAGAGTGATTCTTCTAGAATGCATACCTAACCATGGCAGTTCTCTGCATAACAGGCTTCTGAGTTCTTTGTAGCTTACAGAATAAAGTCCAAACTCAGTTATAAAAGGCTCTTTCAGAATGATCTTTATCTACTTTTTGCAATCCTACTAGTAACTCCTTTTTACTTGCTATATCAAGGTACAGAAGGCAGACACTACACCAGTTATTTAATGAAGAAAATTTAAGATAAGAAATTGTTGGGCATTCCCTGGCCGTCCAGTGGTAAGTACCCCGTGCTTTCACTGCCGAGGTCCCGGTTTCAATCCTGGTCGGGGAACTAGGATCCCACAAGCCGCGCAGTGTGGCAAAAAAAAAAAAAAAAAAAAAAATTGTTAACTAGGTATAAACTGGTGAACTAGGTAACTGAAAGGGTAAAGAGAGAACTTGAAGGCATCACAGGCGTTGCAACTGTGGAAAGCAATTCTCACCACTCAGGCTAAGGGGAAAAAGGGAAGGGGTTGGTGTAATTTAAACTTATAAACGGGACTTCCCTGGTGGTCCAGTGGTTAAGACTCCATGCTCCCAGTGCAGGTGGCAGGGTTTGATCCCTGGTCAGGGAACTAGATCCCGCATGCTGCAACTAAGACCCGAGACAGCTAAGTAAATATTTCGAAAAAAAATAAACTTAGAAATGTAGAAGAGGGGCCCCGTGTTGCTGAAACCGAAACTCCAAGGAGGGGGTTCTGCTCAACTGGTGTTAGTGTCTCTGAGCTTGGAGGGTGACCCTGTGGTTGCTCTCACTGGTCCTCGTGTCTGAGAGGAGAGTTTGGTGTGATGAGGCCAGCTTTGTAAGTGTGGGAAAAACTGCAAACTGGATATAGCTGCTGCGGTATCACTTTGGAGGGAAATGCACGTGCCAGGGTGAAGAGGTGTTGCTGGGATGACATTCACAGGAAACTTTTTCCTGCTCCAGCCTAGCGGCACTGAAACAGCTGGCAAAGCAGAAATGTAGTTCTGCAGTGCATCACAAAGCAGAGCATAGACGCTTGGGTTTGGAGCTGAGAAACATTATGTTAACAACTGGTGCACTTGCTTTGTGTTTTGTTTTGTTTTGTTTTGTTTTCTGGCTCCATCGTGCAGGATCTCAGTTCCCTGACCAGGGATCCAACCCATGCCGCCTGCAGTGGAACTGCGGAGTCTTAACCACTGGGCCACCAGGGAAGTCCCTGGTGCACTTGCTTCGTTACTGTCCCTTCTCTTTGCTTTGCTCCTGTTTCAGGACATTTGCATGTGCTGTTTCCTCTTTCTCAAGTGCAGTTCTCTCTTCACTTTGCCTAGTTAACACCTACTTTTCCAATCTTATCTGGGTTATCACTCCCTCAAAGAAGCCTTCTTCGACTTCCCTGATGAGGTCAAATTACTCTATAATAGGCTCTGTTAGCTTTTATGTAGCCTTGTCACAGCTACAAGTTTACATTTTGTGTAATTTTGGGATTAATGCCCACTAGATTGTAAGGGCATTTATCTCAAGGGCAGGCACCATCCCTCACATCCCACCTGATTTGTTTTTCTTAAACTTGTGTCCCTAACACAATACCTCTAACATGGTATCTGGCTCAAATATGTTGAATGAAATGAGAAGTGTAGTGTAAATATAAATAGCCCCCCCCTGACTTGGGGGGAGTCCATACCATGCTTGAATAGGGATTTTTCTGAATTATCTGCTTCCAGTAGTATCTCTGTTCTGGACGCAGCTCGTAAGTCTTCCTCCTGCCTCTGACCCTCAGTCTCTCAGTTCCCATCCCCTGATAACAACTGCTACTTGGGTTGTCATTCTGAGATGCTCCACGCGAACGTGCAAGCAAAATATATATTCTCGTAGACAGAAGTGCTTCATTCTATTTTTTTTAAATTTTATTTACTTATTTTGGCTGGGTTGGGTCTTCGTTGCTGTGCGCACCCTTTCTTTAGTTGTGGCGACCGGGGGCTATTCTTTGTTGCGGTGTGCGGGCTTCTCCTTGTGGTGGCTTCTCTTGTTGCGGAGCACAGGCTATAGGCACGTGGGCTTCAGTGGTTGTGGCACGCGGGCTTCAGTAGTTGTGTCATGCGGGCTCTAGAGCGCAAGCTCAGTAGTTGTGGCACACGGGCTTAGTTGCTCCACGGCATGTGGGATCTTCCTGGACCAGGGATCAAACCCATGTCCCCTGAATTGGCAGGATTCTTACCCACTGCGCCACTGGGGAAGTCCCAGAAGTGCTTCATCCTTTTGAACAACTGTTTCACTGTAGGAAAGTACCATAGTTTAGTTAATTAGTCTTTTCTTCAAAGACATTAAAGTTGTTTCCCATCTTTTCCTTCTACAAATGCTGCAGTGAATGACCTTGTGCATAACATTCGTGTGCATATGTGCAGTTATATTATAAATATCCCCTGAAACACCTTTTACTTTGGTTCAAGGTAAAGAGATTATGCAGAGGTGGCAGCAAGGATCTGGCTTAGATGCTCAGAAAGTACCTCAAAGGTGGGAGTTCCTAGGTTAGACCTCTGTCTTCAGAATCTAGGACTCATCTAGTCCCGGTGTACAACTAGAGTTTGGGGGCCACTTGGAAACTGAATTGCTCCAACCAAGCTCCAAAGACACTGATGCATTAACTATCAATACAATGTCTTAGTTTTTTTGCTGTATTCTTTCTCTTTTTATAATGTGACAATTGCTTGTTTGCTGTCATCTACACTAGACCATAAACTAGGCTAGGGGAAAGTAGTGAACAAGACAGATGAAGGCCTTGGTCTCCCATGGTTCTTTTTTTTGGCCACACCAAGCAGCATGCGGGGTCTTAGTTCCCCAACCAGGAATTGAACCTGTGCCCCTGCAGTGGAAGCGCAGAGTCTTAACCACTGGATCTCCAGCGAAGTCCCCAAGGCCTTGTTCTTATGGAACTATTTTTATTTTTTTTACGTTTGTAGGTTTGTGTGTGTATGGATTAAACGAAATAATGGAGGTACAGTGATTAGCAAATTTGCAATTTAAAATGTTTGTTTACATGTATACATATATAATACATATTCATGTATATAAACAGAATATTGGAAGAGTCATAATTATTCTTGCCATGACTACATTTTTTTTCCTCTCCCCCAGCCCCACACTGTCTCTTGAAAAGCTCACACCTTAACCTCCAAGTTAACCAAACCAGTAGGTTTGCTTTGAGCTCAAGGCGAGTGCGAAGCGCGGCCGGTAGGGGGCAAGAATCACCCAGGCGTGCCCATTACCTAAGCAAGGGATTCAAAGAGCATTCTCAGAATGACTTTACAAAAGGGTTACCAAGAAGTTAATTTGTTTATTCTGTGTCAGGTCACTTAGTAGTAGTAGCAATAATAATGATCATAATGGAGAATATGAAAATAAGGAAGTGAGAGGTAGTAGCGACAGATCTGTAGCAATCATTAATTGAGAGCAATAGTTTGTTCAGGTTACCGGGTGTGTGTGAATAAAAAAGAAGTGGGGCTGATTACGCTCTCACTCCTTAGGATCTGTACATGGCAGTGGACCAGCCGAGGGGCTCCGAGTTACTTGCGGTTTCACATTGAATAAAGTGCTTTGAGCAAGCCTAACAAGCAATGAGTAGGCGAATATTTTTTTCTAGAATTAACTAAGGTAACGAGCTTTTCAAAGTGACAGAGACGCCACTAGGTAACTTCCCGGCCCAGAGCCACACATCGAAAAGGTTTTGAAAACAGCTTCGGGCCCCTCCTAGCCTGACTTTGAAAGCAGGTGTGGGACGCATGCGCCTGGCCCACCGGTTGACCTCCTGGTGGCAACCCAGATCACGGACCTTCTTCCCGACAGCCCGCGAGGGAGAAAGGGAGGGGGAACGGAACTCTCGCGAGATCTTTCGAGCGCCGGCGGAAGCAGTAGACACGTGACTCTCCTAGGCGGCCTTCGTCTTCCCCCCTCCCCCTTCCTCGGAAACCCGGCCCCCTCACCCCTCGCCCACCCCGGAGCCGCGGTAATGGACGGTTTGGGTTCCGGAATTCCCTTGGATCCAACCACTGATACCGGGTCGGCAGGAGCGACGGAGTCCGTGCTTAGCGGCGAAGGCAGGGGTGGTCAAGATGGGGGGGGGGAAATCATCCTCCTTCACCTAGGAGGGAGGCGGGGCGGAGAGGGGCGCTGGGGAGTGGGGTGGGGGAGGGAGGAAGTCACGTGGGGCGTGCGCGCGGCGCCTCATCCGTTGCCCCACCCCCTCCCGGCGGGGCGGGGCGGGGGGGCTGAGGGGGAGGGGCGTCAAGATGGCGGCGGGGAGGTAGGCAGAGCCGGACGCCGCTGCTGCCGCCGCCACCGCCGCCGCCGCCTCCGCTCCAGTCGCCTCTGGTTCTTCAAGCTCTCGCCACCCGGAGAAGCTGTTCCGGCGTCGGATCCCGCGGGGAAAGTAAGTCCTCTCCTTAGCCCTTTTCTATCTCTACACTCCCCCTCCCGGACAGCCTCCCACTCCCACCCTCCTCAGGGGGCCGTGCGGGGCCGGGCTGGGGGGGGCCGCCACCTCACCCCGGCTTGGGGCCTCCCTCGCCCCTCGCAGCCCCCTCAGCTGCACGCCCTGGGGGCCCTCGGGGGCACGGTCCCGGCGGTGGCCCCGCCGCGCTCGCTTCCTCCGCCCGTCAGCGCCGGGCCCTGCGGTCGCCGCGCGTGGGGCTCTCGGGCCCTGGGGGCCCCGCTGTCCCGGGCCGGAGGCACCCCGTTTGGGCGAGGAGGCAGCGTCTGCGGACGCCGGTTCCGGCTCCGACTGGGCCGTACCCCCCCTTGCTTCCGCGGCTCGACCCGGGGGCTGCGAGGTCCCGGCCTCTCAGGAAAGTGAGCTCCGTAATCCTTCAGAAGTCCTCCTGCCGGACGATTGTTCCGGTTCAGGGCGAGTGCGGGAGGCGACAGGGTCGCCCAAGATCTGAACCCCCGCACCTGCAGTTTGCTGATTACCTCGCTGTCGGGGCGATGGGGACGGTACGTGGGGCACGTGGGGCCACCTTCACGCCTCACCCGGTGATTAGGTTAATTTTGCCTCGAGCTCGCTCGCTCGCCTCCTGGACCCTAAGTAAGCATCTGTGTGGAGGGGAAAGGCGGTTGGGAATTGGCTTACTTAGAGAGTGTTTGGCGTAACGAGCATCTAAAGTTCCCCAAACCAGTGTATGCTGGTGGTTTCCCAGAAGTGGTTTGGGGTCGGTTTAACCGCTGAGGAGGTTTGGATGTGCCTGAACCCTTGTGATTGTTTCTTTCCTGACCCTGGCATCCAGCTCCTCCCCTTTCCACCCCGGCTTTGTGTTTCTGTTTGGTTAATGTTTGCGGACCACTAACTTGATCCTCGCACAGAGAAGCTCTTTTTATGTGCGTGCTCCGTTTACTGTGGGAGGCTTTTGTTTTGGGGAGTCGCTGGTTGAGAAACGTGGGAAAAGAACGGGCGAGAAAATGAGAGTCAAATAAAGCAACGTTTTTAGCCATTGAATTGCCCAGCCAGTTGTAACCGCACCCGGAAGTTTGTACTAAACACGTGTTGATGAGAAGAAGGTTAAAAACTGGGTCCCCTTTGACCTTTAAAAGTTGATTATTAGCAGTTTATGTTGAGTTAAATGTGTCATATTCTCTAGGCAGCCAGAATTAGAGACGGAATAGGGTTTCTAAAGTGTCGGCAGGAGGGTCCAGAAAGCTGTCAAACCCCTAGTTGCTCTAGCGCGGTTCCTCAGAACAGTTGGAAACAGTTAAACCAGATAACAGTGCGGAGGGATTCCATTTTTTCCCAGTTATTTACCGCAATCAGAACTGCTTTTCATAAGCAGTGGGGAAAGCCTTCATCACTGGACAAAAGATAGTTTGTACAGAATTTCTAGGATAAAATGTAGAATTTGCTGCTGCTGCCTTGAGTGGGACATTAGTTTTGCAAGCAAGGGAACATTTTATTTTCATGTTTAAAGAAGTTGTTTCCAAAGTTTACCTTACCAAAGAAGACATCTTTACTGTTTTCCTCTGGATTCTGCTTTTTATCTCCCAATATAACTTTATTCCCAGATCTAATTTTGTTCCATACAATCCTCCAGAATTTTAAATAAATTTTATTTTAGTTGCTGGGTAAATGTTAAAAAGGGAGGCTTAGTGAGTGGCTTACAGATCGTAAATTCATCATCCATTCATCCATCCATTGAATGCTCTTATGTGTCAGTGTTACATGTTTTAAGGGTTTTGCTGAGATTACTATTTAAAAACGTGCAGTATGGAGATTCTTTTCATGTTTTTTTAAAGTCTTTTTTCGCCTCAAAGACTTTAGGTACAGATAACATATTGGCATTTCTTAGTCTCTGAATTGAGCTTTGATTTGAGACTTGCCGCCTTGCCTGTGAAGGAAGACAGCACACAGGTCTGAGGTCTGCTCTTAGCAAGATACCTGACTTTTCGTGAGGCTCTGTGGGTTTGTGCTTTGCCTTCCAAAAATTGGTGTAAAGATACTTTCCGAGAGGAATTGTTTTCCATTAAATAGACAATTAATAACCAAGATGATGTAATCCTTAAGTTTTTGCAGTTGTCTTTTTTAATGCTAATTGACAGATCCACTTTGATGTGGTTGAGCTTTACTAAGTAAGGACAACCTTGTGATACCACTGAAATTTTCTGTAGATGGAAAGGATAGGCTCTTGAAGAGCAGGAACTCTCTTTTATGAAAAAAAATATGGTATAAAACCCGTCAAATTAACTTGCTTATTTACCTCTTGGGAGACAGTATATAGCACAGAGCAGTGATTTTCAAACCTTTTTTACTGCATTCCGCAGTAAGAAATGTGTTTTACGTTGTGACCTAGTACATAATGCACGCATAGAACTCAGTTTTGTGAAATGTTTACACTCTCTGCGTGTGCTGCATTAATTCTGTCTGTATTTAAAATATTTGAATATTCTATATTTGAAATATTTAAAAATACTGGTCATGACATACTTAAATTATTTGACAGCATTGTTGTGACCAGCAGTTTGAAAAATACTGGTATGGCGTTAATAGCACAGAATCTTGGGATGGGCGGGCAGGGTGCAGGGCGCAGGTATCAGCCCTCCTAGGTTTGTAATTCTGCTACAAGCTTGCTTTGTTGTTACCTTGTTACAGTTCATCTCTCTAAGCCTGTTTCTCATCTCTGACAAGGGAATAACGGATAGTTTTTACTCATGGATTATTTTGAGAGTTAAAGAATTCCAACCATATAGTGAATGTCGAGAAGACTAGCCATCTGATTTTGATGGTGTGATGGAGAAAGTAGTGCCCCCCACCCAAATCTTTCTTGGGTTTCTTTTTCAAAGCATTTTTTTTTTTTTTTTTTTTCAAAGCATTTTTGAAGCTTGTATATAATCTGCACATTCCTTTGTGATTCCATTCTTCCTATAGGTTTTGCAATGAGAGTGAGGGGAGGGGCCCTTTACTGAGCAATCGCTGCTTGGGGAAGTAGGTGTTAAAAAATACAGATTATATCCTTTTAGGTAAAGAAAATCCTTTTTAGCAAACTTCTTCATACCTACCTTCCCTTCCTCCTGATACTCTTAAGGAACCAGCACTCAGTAGACACTTAATGAATACTTGTTGATGGACTTAACCAGCTAAATTCTAAGTGGATCATTATCCTTCAAATTCTTAAGCTGAGTGCCAGTCATCGACATCCAGGCTACATAAAAACAGAGTTGGGTCAAAAATTAGACATGTTTAGCACTATTAAGTAAAGAGAAAAATCCTTTTCAGGCAAAGATATTTCTTTCTTTCTTTTTTTAATAAATTTAAATTTATTTTATTTTTGGCTGCGTTGGGTCTTTGTTGCTGCGTGAGGGCTTTCTCTAGTTGTGGCTGGTGGAGGTTACTCTTGGTTTCGGTGCACGGGGTTCTCATTGCGGTAACTTCTCTTGTTTCGGAGCTCTGGGGTGCGTGGGCTTCAGTAGTTGTGGCACGCAGGCTGAGTAGTTGTGGTGTGCAGGCTCAGTAGTTGTGGTGCACAGGCTTAGTTGCTCCACAGCATGTGGGGTCTTCCCGGACCAGGGCTCTAACCTGTGTCCCCTGCATTGGCAGGGGGATTCTTAACCACTGCACCACCAGGGATGTCCGGCAAAGATATTTCTAAAATGATATTATATGTGCACATTTAAATATGTCTACCAGTTTCCTCTAGATATGCTAATTGATTAGATATATTGGATGTATGACACTTGAGTAAAAAGGGTGCTAGTATTTTATAGAACTAATGTGGAAATTAATTAGTGAATAAATTGCCAACAGGTAGTTTGTATTCTAGATATAAAGTGTTATATCAGCAATTTGAAGGAAAACATTTTTTGAACATTATAGTAATGTTTATCAATATAATGGTTAATAGTAGCTAATATTTATTCCACGTAGTGTAATATTTACTCAACACAGCAATCCTGTAAAGTAGGTTCTATTTTTATTCCCATTTGAAGATGAGGAAACTGAGTCACAAGTTATTACTTAACTGTGTTACACTGCTTAGCAGATGGTGTAGTCAGTATTTGAAACCAGGTTTTCCCCTTGACTTCATAGTCTCCTCAGCCTCTGTAGTGTACTGCTGTTGCTGCTGCAGGTACATCTCTTGTATCTGCCCAGAGCTATAAAGATCTGCTTCGGTCTCAACAAGAGGAACCTTGTCCTTGTTGATAGGTTTCAGTGTTGGTGTTCTCAGTGGGAACTGTATCCTTTCATTCTTCTGATTGGCTGTTGTTTCTCAGGATTCTCTTCCTGCCAAGGATGTCTCTTAGTTTCTGTCTACTACTGTGTCATTAGTCCTTATTTATCATAGACGCTTTCATAGGAGTACTATTTTTGAATACGTGATATTTTCAAATGTATTTATGATAAAAATGGAACCTTTTTCTTGTCCATTGTTTGAGATAGAATCACTCTGTGTTTAGTAGTTAGGAGTTCTTTTTCACCTAACAGTGTTTGTGTTTACATTATACTTAGTGGGTTCAAAGTGAAAATGTTTTTTTCCCTCTCAGGAATAAATCTTACTTGTTTGTAAAATGTGGGGAAGGTTGCATAATATAACCTTTTAGGGGCTCTGTCAGCTTGAGCACTGAAATTCTGTGAGTCTGTAATATTGATAGTTTCAGAATAGGAATATGATTAAATATTAAGGATTTTCCTTAATGGAGTTAGAGAATGGCATAGATGTGTCCTCTCTATCCCCTCCCCACTTCTCATACAAAAAAAGTGCAAGTAGGGAATTTGTGCCCAATTGGCTTGAGAGAAAGGATCCCTTGATTTTGTTTGTGTATAAGATGTATATAAAATTAAAATCTCTTTCATTAATAGCTCGTAAAAGACAATGTCTCTTACAGGCATTGTCAGTACTAGGTCACTGCTCAGATCAGAGGGTCTCAAATTGTGATTCCTGTGCATTTTGAGTAGGTCACTGATAATGTTACTTACAACTGTTGCCATCATTTCTTATGGACTCCAACAGGTTTACTCCCCAAATAACTCTCTTCCATGATATTTTTGTACTTATGATGCTAATTGTTCAGAAAATATATTTCAGAAAGCTCTTGTGAATTCAGTAACACATGGATTAATGGATCCCTCGGCCTCCAAGCTTTCTGTGGTCTGTAGTTTAGGAATCATTGGTTTAAAAGAATGTGCTTTTGTTTCAAATGTAAATAATTATTTCCAATATTTACTTTAAAAAAGATGACATTTTGATAGTCTCAGGAATTATTAATCTAGGTCAAAATAAGCCATACCAAGTGGGCTAAGACCCTGTATTCCCATAGGTCATTGGTCCTAATGAAGTATTTTATAGATTGAATTTTTTTTTTTTTTTTTTTTTTTTTTTGGCGGTACGCGGGCCTCTCACTGTTGTGGCCTCTCCTGTTGCGGAGCACAGGTTCCGGATGCACAGGCTCAGCAGCTGTGGCTCACGGGCCCAGCTGCTCCGCGGCATGTGGGATCTTCCTGGACTGGGGCAGGAACCCCTGTCCCCTGCATTGGCAGGCGGACTCTCAACCACTGCACCACCAGGGAAGCCCTGAAAATATTCTAAAGCATTGGTTTGCTCTCTTGGTACATATTTGTACTATGTACTAGGATAGTAGTTTGTAAAGTGTGGTCAACTATGTATTAGAAAAATGGATCAACTTTTTTTTTAAATAAATTTATTTATTTTATTTATTTCTTTTTGGCCGTGTTGGGTCTTCGTTGCTGTGTGCAGGCTTTTCTCTAGTTGTGGCGAGCGGGGGCTACTTTTCGTTGTGGTGCGCGGGCTTCTCATTGCAGTGGCTTCTCTTGTTGCGGAGCATGGGCTTTAGGCACGCGGGCTTCAGTAGTTGTGGAACGTGGGCTCAGTAGTTTTGGCTCGCAGACTCTAGAGTGCAGACTCAGTAGTTGTAGCGCACGGGCTTAGCTGCTCTGCGGCATGTGGGATATTCCTGGACCAGGGCTCGAACCCGTGTCCCCTGCATTGGCAGGTGGATTCTTAACCACTGTGCCACCAGGGAAGCCCCCAAATGGATCAATTTTATATTAAATCCATATTTTGACATTTCTCCTTGTCTCCTCTGTCATCCGGTTCTTTCATATTTCCATCTTGTTGTTTAATACTAATTCTCCCCTTTCCAGTTTTAATCTCAGACAGGCTTTTATTCCGAAGTTAAGTATTGAAACTTCACAGGTTACCAATATTGACTTCTTGATCTACTCATTGGAAAGAGAATGCATGGGCTTTGGGAATTTGAACAGTCTAGATCTGGGTGTGACCTTGGGCAGGTAATTTAAGCTTTTTGAGCCTCAGTTTCATTTCTAGAATTATAATACTTATCTTGCTCAGGGTTGTCATGGACTAGTGATGGACATGAAGAGCCTGACACTGTGCCAGGCTTGTAAAAGATACTTAGTCACTGTCAGTTCCCTTCCCTTCCTCCTATCTGCTCAAAATGCTTTCTTCCTTAGACTTCTTTTCTTTTCTCTAAAAATTTTGGGGAAATCTCCTTTGGGCTATCCTTCCTCTCATCCTTTAAACAGTAGGTCTGCCCTTCGTTTCATTTCTGGATATCTGGATGTCTGGATGACTGAAGCAGCAGTTCCTGTTAAACAAGAACCAGAGACGCTACCTACTCCAGCACTATCTTTGTAAATCACATCTTTGTAAATGATGTACAAGCGACGTAGACCTACCTAGTAGAGAATTTCTCTATGAAATGTCCTGCTTTGATCTAAAACAGTGGTTCTTGTATGTTGGGAAGTCGTGGTCATGGTATTCTTGGCTAACAACTTTTTTTTTGTAGGACATAATGAAACATTTAATTTCATTGCACAGTCTGAGAATAAATGGACTAGCTGAAAATTAGTTTATTTATGTAATGTGAAGTTAGTTCTTTGATAAAAACAAGTAGTCACATTTCTCATAATTATGTTTGTGTATATAAATTGGTTATTTCAGATAAATTAATGAGAAAAGTTAAAATTAAGAAAGCTCTGTTAAACTTTTTTTTCCCTACAAAATGGATAAAAATCCATCTTAGTGGTAGAATACTTTGATTTGGCTCCTATGAGTACAGTTGGAAAACCCCAGCTGAAAGTGTATTTGCCTGCTCGAATTAGGCATTTTCCCCCTAAACTCCATATATCTCACCTTTAGGTCTCCTGGGCTCAACCTTTTTCATTTTCTCTTGGCTTAACTCTAATTATCCATCAACTCATGCTTTTTTGTGTGTGTTTCATGTTCTCCCTTCCATTTTGAGCTTTTATTTAAACTTAGTCTTATGGATTCTCCTTAAATATCTTAGAATCCATTCCCCCTTCTTTCTCTTTACATCTCACTGTTATAGCACATCATCTTTTTCCTGATCTGCTGTAGCATTTTCCTAAGATGTCTCCCTGCCTTGGTCTTACTCTACCCATTCTCAGTTTGCTTCCATACTGCTGTGGAGTAATTTTTCTAAGTCACAAATCTGACTATGTCTTGCAGTCCTCTATCTGAAAACCCTTTAGTGACCCCTGATTCTCACAGGATTAAATGAGCTCTTCAGCATGGTGTTCAGAGCTGTGGGCGAAAACTTCTTCGTCTCTTGCCATCACCTTTGTGAACCTCGTATTTCTGTTCTGAGCTTCTGTACCCATGTTGAACTACTCTAGCCATCTTTCTTAGAGTGCCAGCATCATTCGTGCCCCCATAAGTTTGAATGCACTATCCAGAAGATCCTTGTCTACCTGGCAATTTCTTACCTGAGACTTGGCTCCATTGTCATCTTTGTAATCTCTCTCCCCAGGTGAATTCAGCATTTCCTTCTCTGTTCCCACAGCATTTTGTAACGTATACTCTTTCTGTGATTTGCATACTTTTCTGTCCTTTCCATCTTAATGTGAATTTCTTGGGATCAGAGACTATTGCTCTTTCATCCTTTTTTTGCCTGCTGTGTAGCAGGTTCTTCATAAATATTGAATGAACGGATCCGGTAGAAAATGTTGGTTTATGTTTAGAAGAGAGTTAATTGTCATTTTAAGTTTTTAATGTTAATATTTAATATTTTGTTCTAAAGATGGTGGAGCCAGGGCAAGATTTACTGCTTGCTGCTTTGAGCGAGAGTGGAATTAGTCCGAATGACCTCTTTGATATTGATGGTGGAGATGCGGGGCTTGCAACTCCAACACCTACCCCTCCCGTACAACAGGTAAGTGTTTTCCAAAGCCTCTGTAAGAAGTGAGTTTTTTCTTAATTTTACTTTCTATTATAGAAATAGGTATTGTTAAGCGTTAATTTTAAATATGCATGTGAATATTACTTTTATGTTGATTATTAGTCTTTATTCACAAAGTGGAAAATACTTGGCAGTGAAAATCAAGACATTTTCTGCTTTGATATATAACGTAAGAGATGAATTGCTTAGAGTTATTGTGGGAGGATCACTAATCTCAATATTTGTCTTTGTACTTTATAGGAATATTTTTCTGAGGTTTCACTATACACATTCTCTGAAAGCAAAAATAAGATTCTGGTGTTAGCGTAGTTTAGTGAAGATGTTATGCTTGCAAAGATTGTTACTTTATACCTGGTATCAGTGATTTTACATTCCATTTGAATGCAAAGCTTGAAAAATTTTTTTATTTTAATAAAATAAATACATCTCTTGTTCTTGAAACAGAATTCACTGCCGTCATTCTTTATTTCTTTCTCTGATGTTGTTTTCTCTCCAGTCAGTGCCACTTAGTGCATTAGAACTAGGTTTGGAGACTGAAGCAGCAGTTCCTGTTAAACAAGAACCAGAGACGCTACCTACTCCAGCACTATTAAATGTTAGGGTAAGAATTATTTAGATTTGGCATTACTATGAAAATAGTTTAGGGTTGTAGTAAGAAAATAACCTTTAATATGAAATAGTTTTATTTCACTAGTTCTGCTTTTTGCTGCTTCTTTCCCAGTATTCTATCTACTCTCACCTCCTACTTTATAAAATGTTTCTTTCACTCTTCTGGTAGTTATGTTGATCAAAAGATTAAGGGGAAAGAAACCCCCATTTTTTTAGGTTATTTATTGCAAGTGATAGAAAATTCATGAAGTAAAGGTGAACTACACGTTAACCCACTACACTTTTCATTTTTACTTGTTTATTTCAGCTTTTGTCCATTGGTATATATAATTTTTATGTGATTGTTATTGTGCTTTAAATGTAGAGTTCCACTGACCTTGTTTAAAACATAGCAGTTTTCGTTGTTGTTGTTACTGTAGGCTGGGCTGCACGGCTTGTGGGATCTCAGTTCCCCAACCGGGGATTGAACCTGGGCCATGGCAGTGAAAGCCCTGAATCCTAACCAGTAGGCCACAGGAAACTCCCTACGCATAGCAATTATTAATTTAAGCTCTAGTGGTATAAAAGTATTGGACTGGTTAAAATTTGATAACTTTTGATAAATTATTGTTGAGAGTTACATTTAAAATTAATAGTAATGTAGAAGATTCTTGTTAGAGAAGTCATTAACAAATAACTTGAAGGGGGAAAGAAGTAGAAATAGACTTAAATTTATAAAAATATCTGTTGGGGCTTCCCTGGTGGCACGGTGGTTGGGAGTCCACCTGCTGATGCAGGGGACGCGGGTTCGTGCCCCGGTCCGGGAAGATCCCACGTGCCGCGGAGCGGCTGGGCCTGTGAGCCATGGCCGCTGAGCCTGCGCGTCCGGAGCCTGTGCTCCGCAACGGGAGAGGCCACAACAGTGAGAGGCCCGTGTACCGCAAAAAAAAAAAAAAAAAAAAATCTGTTTTACTTTAGTTGGTTGAAGTCACAGACATTTGTTATCCTCAAATCTTGACTTTTTTTGTTCATTTTTGTCCAACTCCTAACTCCCACCCTCCAACTATAAAAATAAAATGCTATGTAGCTTTGCCTTAGGCTCAAAGGAAGCATCCGCATTATCACTGATATTTGTAATTTACCTGGGTGGATCATTCATGGGGGCATAGGAATTTAAAACTCTGCTTGGTGGTCTTATCTTATTAAGTTAAACGTTAGTATAGTCTGTATGATAGCAGACAAAGCATTGGACAGGAATCATAGAATGTTAGAAATGGAAAATGGTCCTCAGAGACCCCGGGCCTCCAGAGGTAAAGTGATTTGCCTAAGGTTATCTGATTAGTTGGGGGCAGTGCTGGGATTAGAAATTATGTTCCTAGTCCTTGTGTTATGTAGGGTGACTATACAACACAGCTTGCTTAGGATACTCTCATTTTATGCTTGCTGCCCCCAACACTACTATTATACCTTCTTTTTCTCAAATGGTGTATTTTAACTAGGTAGTTTATATCTAATGATATTTATTAGAACCGAAGTGCCAATGGTTGCGTAAGATTCTTAATAAGTCAGTTTTAGAGTTTTAAATGGCCTGTTGTATTTGTGGATATGGGTTGCATTAGAGAATAAAGAATTTTTCACAGGTTATATGGTTTTCTTTTCTAGCAGCAGCCTCCATCTACTACAACATTTGTGCTGAATCAAATAAATCAGCTTCCGACTTTGGGATCTACAATTGTAATGACTAAAACACCACCTGTAACCACGAATAGGCAAACCATCACTTTAACAAAGTTCATTCAGACTACTGCAAACACACGTCCTTCAGTCTCAGCACCAGCAGCACGAAATGCCATGACCTCTGCACCTTCAAAAGACCAGGTTCAACTGAAGGACCTACTAAAAAATAATAGTCTGAACGAACTCATGAAACTGAAGCCACCGGCTAATATTGCTCAGCCAGTTGCAACAGCAGCTAGTAAGTCTTTTTGTTTTCAACAGTGTCAACTGCTTGCCTTCATTAAGATATGTCAGTGTGTTTTTAAGGTTTTGCTTAGGTTTTAAAAGAAGTAGTCATGACGGGAGATGATATCTGCATGACTCTGTGGACTTATAGTATTTATGCAATTCAAGGGAAGCAAAAATTTAGAAGCCTTAGCCTTAAGCTTTAAAATGAAGTGTGGAATTATCAAGTGGCTACATGAACACCATGAGATCTCAGTTTTATAAATTGTGAATAACTGGTTAACATTTTTCTCAGTCATTTAAATCAGTGCTTTTCAAACTTTATAACTCTGAGTCACTTGGGGATCTTATTTTTTTTTAAATGAGTTTTTTTTTTTATTAATTTATTTTTTGGCTGCTTTGGGTCTTCATTGCTGTGTGTGGGCTTTCTCTAGTTGTGGCGAGCATGGGCTACTCTTTGTTGCAGTGTGCGGGCTTCTCATTACGGTGGCTTCTCTTGTTGCGGAGCACGGGCTCTAGGCGCATGGGCTTCAGTAGTTGTGGCACGTGGGCTCAGTAGTTGTGGCTCGCGGGCTCTAGAGTGCAGGCTCAGTAGTTGTGGCGCACGGGCTTCTTTGCTCCGCGGCATGTGGGATCTTCCCAGACCAGGGCTTGAACCCGTGTCCCCTGCATTGGCAGGCGGATTCTTAACCACTGTGCCACCAAGGAAGTCCCACTTGGGGATCTTTGTACAAAAACAGAGTCAGATTCAGTAGGTCTGGGATGGGGACCAAGATTCTGCGTTTCTCATAAGCTTTTAGAGGTGCTGTTGCTGGTGGTCCTTGGACCATGCTTGAGGTGTAATGGGCTTTAAACTGATACTTCGCTACTTTAACTCTTACAGTTTTATGATTTTGCTTGTCATTAGCTTCATTGTATGTCGGTAGTCGTGTTTTTTAGTCAGTTTTCTTTTAAAATATATAAACTTTCATTGTAATGAAAATGAATAGTAATTCACTATATTTTCTTCGAAGAGTGAGCACTCAAAATACTTTTTTAATAATAGCTTTACTGAGGTAATTTACATACCATTGTGCCTTTTAAAGGGGTACAATTCAGTGGATTTTGGTATATTCACAGAGTTGTGTAACCATTACACTAGCTAATCCATAATGCTTTAAGTGTAGGTTTAGATCTAAAGAGAAAAAGCTCAACAGTGATTTGATCACTCTTTTTAGGAATTCATTTATGCATAAACACTATAAATTTTACAGTTAATTTTTCTTCTCTGGAGTGGCTTTTTTATTGCTCACTTATTCAAAAGATATTTATTTATTTATTAATTGCCACACTACGAGGCACGTGGGATCTTAGTGCCTTGACCAGGGATCGAACCCATGCCCCCTGCAGTGGGAGCACTGAATCTTAACCGCTGGACCGCTAGGGAAGTCCCTGTTCTAGGATTCTGAGACTATGGCTGGGAAGAAAACTATTGAAATTTCTGCCCTCATAGAGCTTGCATTTGAGTGGAGAAAAACAGACAATAAACAAAATAAATGAAGTATATAGTATGTTAGATAGGGGTAGGCACGTGGAGAAAAATAGAAAATGGAATATGGGGCAGGAAGAGGTTGTATTTAAGTGGAATGCTTAGAGGAAGCTTTGGTTTATTGTAGTAAGGTAATTTTAAGGGTAAAATAGAGGTTTTTTTTTAACTTTGGCTATATCAAATTTTAGTAGTATAGTTTTAGAAACTGAAAAATGTGAACTCTTTTTTTTCTTTTTTTGGCTGTGCCACTCGGCCTACAGGATCTTAGTTTCCCAGCCAGGGGTTGAACCTGGGCCTCAGTGAAAGCGTGGAGTCCTAATCACTGGACTGCCATGGAATTCCCAAAATGTGAACTCTTAAGAGGGATATTCTTTCCTTCCTTTTTCCATTGAGCTAAATAGTATTTGACTCCCTGCCTGGTGATTTATACTAATACCTAATACATAGCATCCCACTGGGCTCTTGGAATGGGGTGCTGGATATTGAATAGAGAGTTCCTCCTTCCAAACAGCTGCTTTATTTTTCCAATTGAGAGAGATAAGTTTTAATACCCGATATATAATTTTGTAGCAGAATTGATTGCTGGGAAGTTCTAATGTGCTTGTGTTTATAGAGTAGAGGGCCAGGGACTTCCCTGGTGGTCCAGTGGTTAAGAGTCTGCACTCCCAATGCAGGGGGCCTGGGTTCAATCCCTTGTCAGGGAACTAGATCCCGCGTGCCACAACTAAAGATCCCGCACCCGGCAATGAAGATCCCGCATGCCGCAACTAAGACCTGGCTCAGCCAAATAAATAAATATTAAAAAAATAATAACAAAGTAGAGGGCTGGGGCATTCTAAAGGAATGAGCAAGGAGTGTTTGTAGGTGATACAGAACTAACTTTGTCTTCAGTGACAAATGCAATTAAAAATATCAGATAATCTAATCTTTGAGTCCACACCTTTGTGCCTTTTGGCTGTAGTTTTACTCTTAAGGTTATTGTCCTGAACTGACTGGAGCCTGGCAGCTAGATGCCCATTGAGAAATTATTTTAACTGTCTCAGGATTGATTTCCATTCTGTGCCATGGAGAGCAGGACCACGGCCCTGACCTAGCTGAGGTGCAGGGCAGCATCTGGAATGGCTTCTGGGAGACTTAGGGGTGATCAGCAGTTAGTAGAAGCTGCTTTTCATTAAAGTCTTTGGATTTAATGAGGAGAAAGACTGCTGCTGTGCCATCGTGAGGAAAGTTTAGAGAGCAAAACAAAAGAGCTTTGGAGCTGACCGAGTAGTATCTAGTACAGTAACATCTCCCACATCCAGTATAATACTTCTTAAAAGACAAGTCAAGGCCATCCTTGTGTGGAAGGCTGAGAAATTGTCAGACTAGACCAGGGCTGAAAAAGAAACATAGTAAGTGAATGCCGAAGATAAACCAACTTTTGTGTTGTAGGAGAGGGTCATCTTTTTACTGAAAGGGAAGAATGTTAAAAGTGTCAAACTGCAAAGAACGAGGTTTTGCATGTTCTCTCTCTCTCTCTCTTTTTTTGGCCGCCCCGCATGGCTTGTGGGATCTTAGTTCCCCAACCAGAGATTGAACCCAGGCCCTCAGCGGCGGTGAAAGCATGGAGTCCTAACCACTGGACCGCCAGGGAGTTCCCTGCATGTTCTCTGCCCCTTTTGGAGCCCTTAGCCCTTTAGGTGTCTCTTTGGATTCTGATCTCTCAGTTGAGCTCCAGTCCTGTAACTCCTTCTATGAACTGTTCAGTGGCTCTCCCACAGTTATATTAAACAGATCTGTGCTCCTAAGTAAATTTATTATCTCTGTACCAGCTTCCTTATTTTGCTAACACTTTAATCCCAGCCATTTTGTAGTCCCAAGTGACAGGCCACCCAAATACTCCCTATCTTTTGGTAGAATACATAAGGTCATAATCTGTTCTCCTGGTGTAATTTTCACACTGTAATTGCAAGAATACCAGGTACTGGGAGTGCTTCAGGTATACTTGGAGGATGGAGGCTAGTAACAGGGGCTCAGAACTTCTCAACCAAGTAGTTCTTTTAAAAAAAAAAATTAATTAATTAATTTTTGGTTCTGTTGGGTCTTCATTGCTGCGCGCAGGCTTTCTCTAGTTGCAGCGAGTGGGGGCTGCTCTTCGTTGCAGTGCGCGGCCTTCTCACTGCTGTGGCTTCTATTGCAGAGCATGGGTTCTAGGTGCGTGGGCTTCAGTAGTTGTGGCTCGCGGGCTCTAGAGCGCAGGCTCAGTAGTTGTGGCGCACGGGCTTAGTTGCTCCGCGGCATGTGGGATCTTCCCAGACCAGGGCTCAAACCCGTGTCCCCTGCATTGGCAGGCGGATTCTTAACCACTGAGCCACCAGGGAAGCCCCGTAGTTCTACTTTGATTGATACTTTGATGGAGAGGTTCTTGTGCTATATCTTAAAAGAGTTTGCAAACCACTGGTATAGAAGAACAGGTTCATTCTTTGGATCTTTATTCTGAGGGAAGACAGTAGAGTTCCCAAACTTTTTTTTTTCCCTTCCAGAAATAATTATTTTGCCTTGAAGGTTAGTAAGTACTTCCAGATCAGGTGCGATTGATTCTGTCTTGGTGCTAATACCAGGTTTTGCACCAAGTGAAGTGTCTCAGAGTAATGCTGGCTGTGGGTAATTGTTTTGAAATAAACTGCCAAATAGCGTTCTGGTTAAGGTGTCTTTTTGATAAATAGTTTTCAAATTTCCTGTGCACATGTTTCCTTTTAAGTTGTTTTCTAATGTTAATTCTTACCTCCGTAATGACATATAGCATGAGTATTTTTATCCTTATGCTTAATTTAAGTTAGAGATAAGCAGATTGGTATTCTTTGGTTTGTGAAGTGGGTAAACTTTACTGAATTTTTTAAAAACTGTAGGAAAATAGATATTTTGTTATAAAATGTACATTATTTCTCCCCCTCAGCTGATGTAAGCAATGGCACAGTAAAGAAAGAGTCTTCTAATAAAGAAGTAGCAAGAATATGGATAAATGACATGAAAATGAGGAGTTTTTCCCCAACCATGGTGAGTTTCAAAAGCTATATCTGTATTTTTGTGTGGTATGAAAGTACACTTGGCTAAGTGTAGCCCTCAGAAAACTTTTTTGGGGGTGAAGGGGAGCTTCTCAGCTACATAAACTAATGAACAAGCATTAAACCTCACTGGAATAAATTAATATATGCTAAACAAGGGGATTATAAGATACATATTTGATAGATAGAGTATTATACAAAGTGCTGACGCTTTTCTATTGTGAATTTCATCTGATAAGTAAAAAGGACAATGTGGAGTTAACCAAAAGTATTTGATAATTATGTTCATTTTAGGATTGAGCCTTATTATATAGCTGGTTATGGGATGTCAGATCATATAATGGTTTAGTTGTGAGTAATTATATGTTAACATTATTTTTACATTTTGGAAATGCTATATGCTTCAGGTAAATTGATTCTGTGCGTGTATTTAATAATTACGCAGTGTATAACCCTGCCTCTGTGTGGTGGGTTTCTGGCTCCCCATTTTAATAAACATATAATTAATGCCACATGGTTTAAGTAGTAATATAAGGTACAGCAAGAGGTAAATAGTGATGCTCGCAATAGGGCTTATGAGTTTGTAGGAAGATGAGACTCAGATGGCCTAGGAGGACTTCACTTTTTTTTTTTTAAATAAATTTATTTATTTGTTTTTATTTTTGGCTGTGTTGGGTTTTTGTTGCTGCGCATGGGTTTTCTCTAGTGCGGCGAGCGGGGGTTACTCTTCATTGTGGTGAGCAAGCTTCTCATTGTGGCTTCTCTTGTTGCAGAGCACAGTCTCTAGAGCGCTCAGTTGTTGTGGCGCACGGGCTCAGTTGCTCCGCGGCATGTGGGATCTTCCCAGGCTAGGGATTGAACCCATGTCCCCTGCATTGGCAGGCGGATTCTTAACCACTGCGCCACCAGGGAAACCCAGGACTTCATTCTATGGAGGCAATGTCATGGAGTTTGGGTGTCGAGTCTGGAGAGACTTTGAGAGGGCCTTTTAGGAAGGGAGCTACAGCATTAATAGGCACAGAGGAGGTGGTAGCTATATGCTTAGGATACTTGGCTTGCAGGAAGAAATTGGAATGGTTGATTGGGGGCTCTCTGGAGGGTCCTGAATTGAATTTGATGGACTTGGGACTTGGAGCAGCACCAGTGAGGCCCCTGGAAGTAGAGGGACCTGTTAGTGACTCAGGATGTGTTGGGAAGAAGAGACAGGTTAGGAGGTTGGTTAAGTAGTCCAGAAGGGAAGTGATAAGGAACTAAACGTCAGAGATTGCAAAGGTGATTGGAAAGGATGAGGGGAAAGGTAAAAGGAAAGTAAGAGGGGACTGCACATAATGATACCATAGGATTGGTAAGACTGGGAATGAAATACAGAATTGGAGAGACAGCAAAGCAACCTGTGCCTGAGGTTTTGAATGGGGACCAGGAGAACAAGTGTTGGCAGTATCAGTTTACTTAACAGTTGAGTGCCAGCAGCTTACTTGGAAGTTGATTTTTGGAAAATAAGAATGCATTTTTTCTTTAAGATTATTTAGTGCTCAAGTTCCCAGTCCAGCCCATGTTGCCCATAACATGCCAAAAGTTCTATATTGTCCTAGCAGTTAAGAGACATCTAACAGATTGCAAACTGGTAGCCTGTGGATAAAAACCAATTGACAGGTGTTTTGTTTGGCATCCACATTATTTTGAAAATTTTGAATGTGTTGCAAACACATAAAATGCTGATTTCCAGGTTCTCTTGAAAAATAGGAGTACCTGATAATCCTGGGCCCACATTCCTCACCTCGTGTTAACATGCTTAGAGTTGAGTAGTGAACATCTACTTTGTATGTTGGTCACACATTCCCCGTGTACCACAGTCTCCCTCCCCTTCATTTATCTCCTTGACCCTAAGCTTGGTGTCAGTTGCCATTTTACATCCAGCTGGCTTAGACATATTACTTGTCTGGTCCTTGGATTTTGTGACCGTATTGTGTTACCACCTAATCCTCCAATTATATACCTGCGGTATATATTTTTTAAAGGTAGGGAAAGACAAGGCAGAGGGAGAAAGGTCATTTAGCACAGTGCGCATTCCTATTTTACAGATGAGGAAAAGGTGCAAAGGGGGATGGGCAGGACTCAGAATGTAAGTAATTTGCCCAAGGCTACACAGATAACAGCAGAAGTGGGGTCTGGGTCTGTTTCTTTGGCCAGCCCCATTTCATCTCTTATTTCTGAAACTGGGTTTTATTTTGGCATACTTTCTGAGAACATTCAGGGTTTCTTTGGATTTTTTTTCTAAGGACTCCATGGGTTGATGGCTGCATGTTTATCTCACATCTCCCTTTTCTTTCCCACATTTATTGAGCATCTATGTGCCATCATATGCTGCTCTAGACTAAATAAAAATAAATAAGTAAAATAAAAATAAAATAAAAGAGGAGCCTGACCTTACATTTTATTTATTTGTTTGTTTTTAAGATAAACTTGTTTTATTTATTTTATTTTTGGCTGCGTTGGGTCTTCGTTGCTGCGCGCGGGCTTTCTCTAGTTGCAGCGAGTGGGGGCTACTCTTTGTTGCGGTGCGCAGGCTTCTCACTGCGGTGGCTTCTCTTGTTGCAGAGCACGGGCTCTAGGCGCACAGGCTTCAGTAGTTGTGGCACGTGGGCTCAGTAGTTGTGGCTCGCGGACTCTAGAGCGCAGGCTCAGTAGTTGTGGCGCACGGGCTTAGTTGCTCCGCGGCATGTGGGATCTTCTCGGACCAGGGCCCGAACCCGTGTCCCCTGCATTGGCAGGCGGATTCTTAACCACTGCGTCACTAGGGAAGCCCTGATGTTACATTTTAATGCCATGTGTCCTTGGCATTACCTGTAGGTCCTGACTAGGTTTTCTCTTTGTCCTTCTCCTCCCTTCCTTGGTATACTGGGTCCCACAGCTTCTTCCCTACATTCTTCCTTGATCAAGCCCACATTAATAAAGAGCTTCCCATTATGGTTTACTGATAGTGAAAAGCAGCTTTTTCAGGTGCTTCTTAGTCCCCTATTCCTCCCTGCCTCTACCTCTTTAAGATTCTGTAGAGAAACACAAGGTAACATGACTATATTGACCATTCACTCACTTTGCCTGGGGCAGTCTGGGTTTACTGCTGTTTTCCTGGTGTAAGTTACTAATAACTCCTCATTTTATTCTCAGATGTGCTGACATTTGGAGAGTAGGTGATACAGGATTCTGTATGATTGTCGTTGTGTCTGTGGAGACACAGATGTCTGAAGTAAATTCGCTGTCTTTTAGAAGAACCTTTAAACTCCAGAGTTTTCTACGGTTTTGGTTTTAGGATCTAAGGGAAAGAAACAGGTGAAGGTAACTGAGAAGAGGGTGGGATGTGAGACTTAAAGAGAGTTCCTGCCCATGAGATTGTAGGATGTGCTGCTGGGGCTCATCCACCTTTTCTCTCCAGACCCCTTGTTCTTTCTATTCCTGGAACTGCAATGAAGATTGAGGACTGGAGGTTAGACTTCTGGGCATCAGGGAGGCTGGCAGGTAATACTGAAGGGGAAGGTAGTTTGAGAAGGTGGTGGAGCCCTGTGGTGACCCATTTGTGTGTTTGCGATGAGAGCAGGTCATGGATTATCTGTGCTTATCTTTGGAGGAGCAGGGAAACCATAGACTCTGACCCAGATATTAGGGAATATAGAAGTGGTATGTCCTGTTTCCAAGATTGAAGATAGTGGGTATTCCTACAGAAGAGTTTTTCTGTGTGTTGGCTGGGCCTCCAGTTTCTGGACTTAGTTGATTTTGCTCTCTCTGTTACAGAAGGTCCCTGTTGTGAAAGAGGAAGATGAACCAGAGGAAGAAGATGAAGAAGAAATGGGTCATGCGGAAACCTATGCAGAGTATATGCCAATAAAACGTATGTCTTTGGGATTTGTCAAAATAATGAAAGACTTCTGGGTTCCTTTTGAACTTAAAAAACTGCCACACACATTATTATGTATTAAGATCTATGTTGGGTACCTCAGAATTTGATAAGTGTGAGCTTTGTAGTGTGTTTTTTTTTTTTTTTTTGCGGTACGCGGGCCTCTCACTGTTGTGGCCTCTCCCGTTGCGGAGCACAGGCTCCGGACGCGCAGGCTCAGCGGCCATGGCTCACGGGCACAGCCGCTCCGCGGCATGTGGGATCTTCCCGGACCGGGGCACGAACCCGTGTCCCCTGCATCCGCAGGTGGACTCTCAACCACTGCGCCACCAGGGAAACCCTGTAGTATGTTTTAAACTAGAATATGTTTTAAAATAGCTACATGAAAATTCTGTGAGTTTTTAAATTTTCCTACAGAAATTTAGAGCTTTGCTTTGGAATGAAGTCTTTTAAAACCAGGAGTGAAAAGGCTTTTTCCTTTCAAGTTAATTTTGCTCATATCAGCAGTGATTATAAAATCATAGTAAATTACAGAAATGTAAACACGTATCTTAGCTTTATACAGCTTATCTAAAGCAAATTATAAAAACATGGGAATCTTAAAAATAAAATCTGCTATTCGAATTCAGTGGTTTAAATTAACACCATTGCTTCCTTTTTTCCCGTAATGACCATGATTCATTTTTTTAGTGGTCACTGTATTAAGTTGAAAATGAATAATTTTTAGTTTTTGTGTAAAATTTTTCACTTTTTCATTTTATGGGGGTAATAAGATGGAAAAAAATCTATGGCTAGAATTTTTCTCTCCTATACTCTGGCTTTCTATAAAAAGTCACCAATAAGACCACTTAAACTAAAAATCTCTGTTTACCAACTGTGTATGGATTCCAAGGTCCCATATTTTCCTGGTTATTTAAAATGATGTCGTTAATCTAGGATTATGTTCTGTTACTACTGGAGAACCTGTTGGTATGAACTGTGGTGGTATTTTTCTAGATCTTTTTAATCAGCAAGTCTCTATTTAAACCATAGGTAGTTGATAAATAGGTAATTTTAGTCAAATTTAAACAGTACTTTACCATCAGTCAGTGACTTTATATAGGATCCCAGGGTGTATAGTTACTTCTTATATTTTCTCTGTCAGGAGAAATATTGCAATATCTTACGATAAGACTGGGAAGTGTTATTACTTAGAATAATTAAAATGAAATATTTTTAAATTTTTATTTAGTAAAAATTGGCCTGCGTCACCCAGATGCTGTAGTTGAAACTAGTTCTTTATCCAGTGTTACTCCTCCTGATGTTTGGTACAAAACGTCTATTTCTGAAGAAACCATTGATAATGGCTGGTTATCAGCATTACAGCTTGAGGCAATTACATATGCAGCCCAGGTAAGCTGTGTAATTTATAGCTACATACAGTTTTTATCTTTAATTTTAGTTCACAATGTATAGTTGTTTTAATTCAAAGTTAAGTTTCCCTTGCATGAAAATCTTGTGAATGTGATTTTTATAGAAGTTTTATGTGTTAGAAAATTAAAAGGGTAGTGTGGATATGGGGAATGTGTTTCTAGTGCAAATGATAAATTGTCATAACCGTTTTGGAATTCACTGGGAACATGTATTAAAATTAAAAATACCTATATCCTTTTACCTAACAATTCCATGCGAGTCTGTTTCATAGAACTATTAGGTAAGAACATATATATATAAGGCTATTTGTTGCAGTTTTTTTTCCCCCCAGTGGCTGAAAGCTAGAAAAGATTTGAAAGCTCACACCCTTGGGGAGTGATTGAATAACCTTTGGTATTACCATATGGGTGTTTTACCAGCTTTTATATTATGTCAATTGTCTTGAAAGGATTTCTGAAATACTCCATTTTTGTAAAATAAATAGGCAACCATCCCCCATATTTATGTTTTATAAAAAAGTTTGTATTTGGTTGTACAGTCCTTGAAAAATTATGGAAGAATACTCACCAATTTTTTAACTTTAATTACCTGCTACATACGAGGGTAGCAAGAAAAAAATACACAGACCTCGGAGATAGGGCAGGTTTGGTTCCAGACTACCACAGTAAAGCAAATGTCACAATAAAATGAGTTGCATGAAGTTTTTGGTTTCCCAGTGCATGCAAAACTTAGTGTTTACACTATTATGTAGTCTGTTAAGTGTGCAATAGCATTATGTCCAGAAAAACAATGTACATACCTTAATTTAAAAATACTTTAATGCTAAAAAATGCTAACCATCATCTGAGGCTTCAGCAAGATGGGGGGAGGTCTCGCCTTGGTGTTGATGGCTGCTAAATGATCAGAGTGGTGGTTACTGAAGGCTGGAGGGGCTGTGGCAGTTTCTTAAAATAAGACAACAGTGAAGTTTGCTGCATTGATTCATTCTTCCTTGCACTAATGATTTCACTGTAGCATGCAGTGCTGTTTGATGGCATTTCACCCACAGAACTTCTTTCAGAATTGGAGTCAGTCCTCTCAAACTCTGCCACTGCTTTATCAACTAAGTTTATGTAATCTAAATCCTTTGTTGTCATTTCAACCATCTTCACAGCATCTTCATTAGGAGGAGATTCCATCTCAAGAATCTACTTCCTCCACTGAAGTCTTGAACCGCTCCAAGTCATCCATGAGGGTTAACTCCTGTTAATGTTGATATTTTGACCTCTTCCCATGAATCATGAATGTTCTTAGTGGCATCTAGAAGGGTGATTCCTTTTCTGGAAGGTTTTCAGTTGATTTTGTCCAGATGCATCAGAGAAATCAACTATCTATGGCAGTTACAGCCTTACAAAATGTGTTTCTTAAAGAGTAAGATTTGAAAGCCGAAATTACTCTTAGCTCCATGGGCTGCAGAAAGGCTGTTTTACAAAGCAGGCATGAAAGTGACATTGATCTCATTGTACGTGTCCATTAGAGCTCTTGGGTGCATTGTCAATGAGCAGTATTACTTTGAAAGGAATCTTTCATTCTGAGCAGTAGGTGTCAACAGTGGGTTTCAAATATTCAGTAAATCATGTTGTAAACAGATGTGCTGCCTTGTTCCATTTGTAGAGCACAGGCAGTGTAGACTGAGCATAATTCTTAAAGGCCCTAGGATTTTTGGAATGGGAAATGAGCATTGGCTTCAACTTCAGGCCACCAGCTGCATTAGCCCCTCATAAGTCAGCCTGTCCTCTGAAGCTTTGAAGCCAGACATCAACTTCTTCTCTAGTTATGAAAGTCCTAGATAGCATCTTCTTCCAAAAGAAGGCTGTTTCATCTACATTGAAAATCTGTTGTTTAATGTAGCCACATTTATCGATTATCTTAGCTAGATCTTCTGGATAACTTGGTGAAGCTTCTGCATCAGCACTTGCTGTTTCACCTTGCAATTATGTTACGGAGATGACTCCTTAAATCTCATGAACCAACCTCTGTGAGCTTCAGAATTCTTCTGCAGCTTCCTCACCTCTCTCAGCCTTCGTAGAATTAAAGAGTTAGGGCCTTGCTCTGGATTAGGCTTTGGCTTAAGGGAATATTATGGCTTGTTTGATCTTCTTTCGAGACCACTAAGTTTCTTCATGTCAGCAATAAGGCTGTTTCGCTTTCTTATTGTTTGTTCACTGAAGTAGCACTTTCAATTTCCTTTAAGAACTTTTTTTTTCATTCACAATTTGGCTATCTGGAGCAAGAGGCCTGGTATTCAGCCTGTCTAGGCTTTCAACATGTCTTCCTTATGTTGTAATCATTTCTAGCTGTTGATTTAAAGTGAGAGACATGCAGCTCTTCCTTTCACTTGAATGCTTAAAGAAGCCATTGTAGAGTTATTAATTGGTCTAATTTCAATACTGTTGTGTCTCAGGGACTGGGGAGGCTGAAGGAGAGAGAGAGATGGGGGAAATGGCCAGTCAGTGGAGCAGTCACAATACACACAACATTTATTAATTAAGTTCACCATCTTATATGGGCGGGGTTCATGGCAGCCCAAAACAATTAAAATAGTAACATCGAAGATCACTGATCACAATAACAAATATAATAATAATGAAAAAGTTTAAAATAGTATGAGAATTACCAAAAACTGACTCAGAGACACGGAAGAGCAACTGCTGTTGGAAAAATGGCACCAATAAAATTGCTTGATGCAGGGTTGCCACAAACCTTCAATATGTAAAAAATGCAGTAGCCCCTGAAGTGCAGTAACAGTGAAGCACAATAAAATGAGGTATGCCTGTATAGTTACGTAAAAGTATGCACACTAAGCCAACTACATGCCATTTCTATAAAAACAGAGAATGTTAATATATGACTAAAACAAGGTATGAAAGACTGATTGCCAAAATATCTAAAGGAATAGATAATTACCAGCGTTTTCTTTTTCAGCAACATGAAACATTCCTACCAAATGGAGATCGTGCTGGATTCTTAATAGGTGATGGTGCTGGTGTAGGAAAAGGAAGGACAATAGCAGGAATCATCTATGAAAATTATTTGTTGAGTAGAAAAAGGGCTTTGTGGTAAGTGCTAAAGACTGGCTGTGGAAGCTTTTGTTTGTGAATAATCCAGCATATGGGGATGGGTCTTCGTGAGTAGGTATATTTTTTTGAAGTGTCAAGGCCTGGGTTTATTTATTCCTGAATATTGCTAGAATGATGGGATTTGTATTGAATTTGTGTGTTTTTCTTTTCCCTTTTTTTTGTGGCAGGTTCAGTGTTTCAAATGATTTAAAGTATGATGCCGAAAGAGATCTGAGGGATATTGGAGCAAAAAACATTTTGGTCCATTCATTAAATAAGGTATGAAACTTTTCTATTCAGTTGGTCATTCAATAAATATTGACTTATCTGTGAGATGGGAATAATAATAGTTTCTACTTCGTAGGGTTGTTAAGAGGATTAAATGAGTTATTTCACAGAAAGCATAGTGAGTGCTAGCCACTATTGTTGGTTTTCGGATTACTAAGTGTTAAATAATATGCTAGATAGGGTTATGTAGCGGCAAACAAAATAAGCATTGTCTGTTTTTATGGAGTTTATTCTCTTACTCTTCAGGGTTTTTCATTTGTTTGTTTTTGTCTGTTTCTGAAGTTACTGTATATGAGTGAAACTCATATACTTATGAGTATAAGGGTGCAGTGTGATAAAGCTATATGGACAGGTAGTGTGCCCATCGCATCATATAGAGAGAATTGTGATTTGGACACTGTTTTAGATATTTGTACATTCAGTGGACTTGTATACCCGTACCTGTGTTCATGTTAAAACAGTTCTGTCAAATGGAAGAAAATGTGTTTCATTATCTAGAAAGCACAGTCCAATGTTCATTTAGCAAATCTTTATTGACCTCCTACTATGCAGCAATTCCTGGAGTCACATGGGTAGAATAGACAGACCTAGTTCCTACAGGTGCTTCCTTGCTAGCCCTTTGAAAATAAGTAAATGTAAATCTACTTTCCATGCGAGTCCTAAGTTGCTTCAGTGTTCAGTCCTAAGTTGCTTCGGTGTTGTTGCCCTGCCCATCAGTGGCTTTTTTTGGATGAGGGTTACTGAGTGGTTTGTTGGGTTAAGTACTGTGTCTTGAATGACTACTAGCAGTTCAAAACTAAAACATGTAAGGGGCATCTAGAAATATTTTTGATTTCTAACTCAGCATAATTGAGGAAGACCACAGTAACTATTAATCATAATTCTTATATAGCCCTCAGATCTTAATTACAGTGCTTTGCATGTAGTAAATGCACAATAAATATTTGTAGAATGAATATTGTGACCTTTTCTTGGGGAGTTTGATTTGTAATCTTTTTTTTTTTTTTTTTTTTTTTTTCGGTACACGGGCCTCTCACTGTTGTGGCCTCTCCCGTTGCGGAGCACAGGCTCCGGACGCGCAGGCTCAGCGGCCATGGCTCATGGGCCCAGCCGCTCCGCGGCATGTGGGATCTTCCTGGACTGGGGCATGAACCCGTGTCCCCTGCATCGGCAGGCAGACTCTCAACCACTGTGCCACCAGGGAAGCCCTGTAATCTTTTATTGATGATAGACTTTTTTGAGACTTTGATGAAAACTGGATCCTTGTACGTTAAAGTTATACACACACACACACAAACACACACGAGAGGGTTCATGTGTGTGTGTATGTATGTGTACACATGTGTATGAGAAATTTTGTGTATGATCTTAAGAGGTCCTTTGACTTTCCTGAAGCCCATCATGGTACCACCAGTTTCCTGCTGTAGAAATCTGGGTGGGATAAATATTTTAGAGACAAAAGTGTATTTATTAAGTTCTTCTCTTTTCTTTCTTAGTTTAAATACGGAAAAATTTCTTCCAAACATAATGGGAGTGTGAAGAAGGGTGTGATTTTTGCTACCTATTCTTCCCTCATTGGTGAAAGTCAGTCTGGTGGTAAATACAAAACGAGGTTAAAACAACTCCTACATTGGTGCGGTGATGACTTCGATGGAGTGGTATCCTTTGCAACAAGTTTTATAATTTTTAATGACACAAAATATAACACACAGGAATTCTGAGGTTAAATAAAAAGACTGCTGGGACGAGAGCTTTAATGATTACATAGAGTCCAAGGAAGTCAGAAAGTTGATTCTGTTTTGTAGCTGTCATATACGAGGCCAGTATTTAAGTTCCTGCTTTAGGAAAATGTTAATAGGTATGGGACATGCTGAATACTATATTCCCTTCTTAACTTAGTGATTTCCAAACTTATTTGCTCATAGCATACCTTTTACTATCCTGCATGAGGATCACTAGTTTTTGAAGTACTGATTAAGTTGGTTATCAGTTGTGCTTCTATTTAACAAAATTTGCTCAAATTATCTGTGTGGTGGACATTTTTAGCCGTAGTGGATCCTTTCGTTCATTCTAATGAAGAATTAAATATCCAGTTCAGGAGTGACAGCGCCGCAAGGTGGCAGCCACCACGGGCTCGGACAGTTTATGAAAACTGAATATACAGCCTTAAGATAGAATGTGGACCTAAATACCCAGAAGCAACCCCCTTTGTAAGATTTGTAAGAAAAATTAATATGAATGGAGTTAATAGTTCTAATGGAGTGGTGGACCCAAGAGCCATATCAATGCTAGCAAAATGGCAGAATTCATATAGCTTCAAAGTTGTCCTGCAAGAGCTTCGGTGCCTAATGATGTCCAAACAAAATATGAAACTCCCTTAGCCGCCTGAAGGACAGTGTTACAGTAGTTATCAAAAAGAAAAACCACAGGCCCTCCACCACCCACCCCCCATTCGATTCAAGCAGTCTTCATTTTCTGCAGTAGTAAATTTTCTAGATGCCAAAAAAAAATTAAATATCCAGTTAAGGTTAATGCCAAATTCAGTGAATGCCTCTGTGGCTGGGGGAAGGGGGCTATGGAGATCAAGGAGAGGCACATAGAGGGCTTCATTGATATTTGTGATCTTACAGAAAAAGAAAACCATCTGAAGCAAATATGGCAAAATGTTAAGGTTTGACAAAACCAGTTAATAGGTATAGGTATGTGAATATTAGTTAAAAAAAATGTTAATGCTCAGGGGCTTGTTATCAACAGCATCCCTCCCCCTAATAATCTTGATTCTTTTTTTTACTCCAGCTACCATCCCAGAAATCTTGGATGTTTCCCAAGTCCTAAGTGAAATAAAAGTTAACTCTTCCTGAAAGATTGGAGACACTTGCTACTAATGTGACATGTTCCTTAATTTACTCCTTACAGATAGTGTTTGATGAATGTCATAAAGCAAAAAACTTATGTCCTGTTGGTTCTTCAAAGCCAACCAAGACAGGCTTAGCAGTTTTAGAACTTCAGAACAAATTGCCAAAAGCCAGAGTTGTTTATGCTAGTGCCACTGGTGAGTAGTTACATATTTAAAAGAGAGAGATACATATGTTATTTTTTCAGCTATAATATGTTTTGTTTGGGGGTTTTTCAGGTGCTTCTGAACCACGAAACATGGCCTATATGAACCGTCTTGGAATATGGGGTGAGGGAACTCCATTTAGAGAATTCAGTGATTTTATTCAGGCAGTAGAACGGAGGTAATGCAATTTACAGTATACACTATTTGTTCTCAGTAGCAATCTAAAAGAGGTGTTATTGCTAAAATCTCTTCCATGTATGTTAAAGCTCTACTATATTTAATGATAGTTACTGTGTGTTTTAATTTTATTCAGAGGTGTTGGTGCCATGGAAATAGTTGCTATGGATATGAAGCTTAGAGGAATGTACATTGCTCGACAGCTGAGCTTTACTGGAGTGACCTTCAAAATTGAGGAAGTTCTTCTTTCTCAGAGCTATGTTAAAATGTATAACAAAGCAGTCAAACTGGTGAGCATGTTTTTATTAACTCTTAGTACTTTTAATGTACCTGATAATGTATCTGTTAGCCAATTTTGTCCAGTCAGGAGTATATTTTGTCCAGTATACTCCTGTCAGCTCACAGGAGTATATTTCTGCTATAAAACAACAGATAAATCACTGGTTCCTTATTTTCCCAATTTTCTCTTTGTTAAAGTAATTTATAAAAAATAGCCATTTATTTTGGTTGTATAGTTTTTAAAATCACAATGTAACTGTTTCCTAAAATGACTGCATTAGTTAATAAGAATTTTGGGACAGCTCTATGTGAGCGTCCTAAAAAACATTTGTTTAGAGATTCCCAAGTTACTGAAAATGCTTCGTTGAGTTCATGTTAAATGGTGTCTTGCACTTTATTTTGATTGAATTAGTCATTTTAAAATCACACTCAAAAGATTGAAATATCTAAAATGTTGATTGTGCACCTTCAGTGGGTCATTGCCAGAGAGCGGTTTCAGCAAGCTGCAGATCTGATTGATGCTGAGCAACGAATGAAAAAATCCATGTGGGGTCAGTTCTGGTCTGCTCACCAGAGATTTTTCAAATACTTGTGCATAGCATCCAAAGTTAAGAGGGTTGTTCAACTAGCTCGAGAAGAAATCAAGAATGGAAAAGTAAGGTTCATCTTTGGTTATGTGTTTTAGTCTTTTGGGTGTTGAGCCTTTCTACTTAAAAAAGCCTTTTTTTCTAAAGGGTACTTGTAAAAAATATTAACATAGTAAGACTTTAAAAAATGCATTTTTAAGATAATAAAAGCAATACGTGTTTATAAAGAATTTGGATAGCTCAGAAAAGTATAAACAAACATCACTATAATTTGGCTAACCATAGATGTAACAACTGATAACACATGGATATATATATTACATTAAGGTGTTTTCCTTTTTGGTAAATACATATTTAGTTAAAGCACAAAGAACTGGGGCAGGGGCTTCAGTAGTGTCCACTGTTGTAATACTGTTTCCTAGATAAGTGTATTACATGTAGCATGTCTCAAATATATGTAGAATAAATAAATTGGTACACACATACAGTAATGGGTAATTCTTGTTTGAAATCTTTTTTTAAACTAAATATTTAAAATAAGTCTTAAGAAACCACGTAGATATTTTTATTTATAATTAATAATATTCTTTTTTGCCTCCAGTGTGTTGTAATTGGTCTGCAGTCTACGGGAGAAGCTAGAACATTAGAAGCCTTGGAAGAGGGTGGAGGAGAATTGAATGATTTCGTTTCAACTGCCAAGTAATGTTTATGGTTTTGAGTTTTTACTTAGATTAGTTTAAATGTTGGCATTTCCTGGAGGCAAAATTTTTGCGTTTTAAAGTTTTTCTGATTTTAGTTTTTATGGTCCTGTGTATGCATAACAACATGTCTATTGGAAAACAAAAACATAGAAATGCTGAAATGTTAAGTATTTTGACAATATTATGTCCAGTATTTGGACTAACTGAAGGGCTTGATTTTTGTTTGTTTTGTACATCTTGGAAATCTGACAGCTTGGTTTAAGATACTCTGTTTTGGCTTTGTGTATTGGAAACTACCATTATCCAAAGGAGCAGTATAGTTTAGTTTGCCCTAGTTTAGTATGCTCTAATATAAACATTGCAAATAATCCTGAGATAGTCAAAAGAGATTTTAAAAATGTTTTTAGACACTGTTTTTCAGTTTGTTTGCCTAACAGACAGTTCTAACTCTGGTAGCAAAATTAACAAAATAACTTTTGCTGCCATGCTATCTTTTGCCTTAGGGGACACATTCAAGTGGCTCATTTTAAGATAGATATAACTTAAAACTACTTTTAAAAGCAAAACATGCACCTGCTAATCTGTATCTTCCCTGTGCTTGCCTGCCTAGTATTGCCTCTGAAATGATAGGCACTAGTTACAGGGAGCTATTAAGAGTTGAAGTGGCTAGTCCAAATTGAGATGACCTTTAAGTATGAAATAGACACCAGGTTTCAAAGACTTAAAGAAATATAATGTAAAACATTTCATTGATTACATTTTAAAGCGATATGTTAAGTTAAATAAAATATTAAAGTTAGTTTCACAAGTTTTCTTCTACTTTTTAATGTAGCTACTAGAAAGTGTAAAAATTATGCTTGGGTTGCACTGTATTTCAGTTGGACAGTCTTGGCCTAGAATATTAAAATTCATTTGAGCTGGATTATCAGTATTTTGTAAGATTGAATAAAATGTACTTTTCATTTTTTATTTTTTAAAAATTTATTTTATTTCATTTTTATTTATTTTTAAAATTTTTTCTTGGCTGTGTGTGTCTTCATTGCTGCACGGGGGCCACTCCTTGCTGCAGCGCACGGGCCTCACATTGCGGCAGCCTCTCCCGCTGCAGAGCACGGGCTCCAGGCACGTGGGCTTCAGTAGTTGTGGCACGTGGGCTCAGTAGTTGTGGCTGGCTTGAGGGCTCTAGAGCGCAGGCTCAGCAGTTGTGGTGCATGGGCTCCATTGCTCCGCAGCATGTGGGATCCTCCCGGACCAGGGCTCGAACCTGTGTCCCCTGCATTGGCAGGCGGATTCCCAACCACTGTGCCACCAGGGAAGCCCCAAATGTATTTTTTTAGTAAGACATAGATTTTATTATTTGTAACTCTTGCATGTACCTGAAAATGGAAAATATATGTGAAATAAATTGGTTAAAGGATTGTTAAAGTCCTTTACATTCAGAATCCAACTCTTTTGAATCACTTGTTGACTCGAGTCACTGTTGTGCAATTTTTCTTCACGGAGTCTTCCTCTGTGCAGCAGTTCTGAAAAAGAATCAGGAACCATTGGTGCTGAGTTCCTAACAGCTTTACAGTTATGTGGAGCTAACCTACTTTTGATATCCAATTTGGAAATGCTGCTAATAAAGTATACTTGTTTTAAACAAATACATTCAGTAAGATTTTATGTATAATAAACTATTTTGCATACTGAGCCACTAACTGTCACTTTTTCTCTCTTCGAACAGAGGAGTGTTGCAGTCACTCATTGAAAAACACTTCCCTGCTCCAGACAGGAAAAAACTTTATAGTTTGCTAGGAATCGATTTGACAGCTCCAAGTAACAACAGCTCACCAAGAGATAGTCCTTGTAAGGAAAATAAAATAAAGAAGCGGAAAGGTGGGTACTTTTCTTTAAATGGTGCTGGAAGTAGGCTCATGTAGTTTTTTTTTTTTTTTTTTTTAAGGAAGTGTCTTTCTTTCTTCCTCCCTCCCTCCCTCCCTGCCTCCCTCCCTTCCTCCCTTCCTTCCTTTCTTTTTATGGCCGCACCACATGGCTTGCAGAATCTTAGTTCCCTGACCAGGGATTGAACCTTGGGCCATGGCCATGAAAGCACGGAGTCCTAACCACTGGACCACCAGGGAATTCCCTTGGCTCATGTAGTTTTTGAATGCACAAGTAATCCCATTTTAAATTGGGGCTTTAACGATTTGACTGGTGCTGAGTAGGCACTGTATTGAGCACTGCGCACACATGATCTCATTCAACTTGCAAGGGATCCGTATGAAAGTAGGTTATATTTTTTCAGTTTTATAGACAGAGGAAGCTAAGGCACAGAAAGACTAAATGGTTAAGCGATATCCCCAGGTTGGCACAACTACTGGGTGATAAATGGGGAACCAAAATCCGGGCCTTTCTATTGTCAATGCTGTGTGTGTGAGTGTGTGTGTGTGTGTGAGTGTGTGTTTATATAGTCTTCTTTAAAGAGACTTTTGTTAGTTTATTATTTAATTATTAGGAATACACTCATCTTTGTTTGTTAGACATCTTATAATAATACAAACTTGGGTTTGTGTTTAGGTGGTTACTAAGTAAGCTCTTTGACTTTCAGAAGGTAACTTCTCAGGCTCTCTTTCTCTAAAATGGTGATAATAACTCATATTGTGAAGACTATCATACTGTGTGTTCTAAACACAGTGCCTGACACTTTAACCTTACCTTTCATCGGTTCTAAGAAATGCTTTTTTTTCCCTTACGTTTTTAATATGCCTGAAAGTAGGTTGGCTATTATAATATAATTGACAGTATTTTTTAATTTTAGTGGCACAAAAAGTAAAGCTGAGTCCTAGAGTCAGTAACAGAGTAGTCAGATAGATAGATGGTCATGTTTCCCTTTTTTGAATTATGTTCTCACCATCATTAATATGTGAACATTTTAATGTTCTGCTTAGTTTTGGTTGGTTTATTCCAGATATCTTTTATGAATATTCAGTAAGATAATTCAGATCAGCACCTTGTTTGACTTTTAAAAATGTAGTTTTATAGATTAGTTTTTTTAGTATTCCATAAAGTATTTGCATATTTTATAAATCTGTAATTATTAGGCCTCTTCTCTCAACCTGATACACAAATTGTGACAATGCCAGAGATTCTGTTTCATCTCTGTTGTCTTGAGATGTTTATTTTGAAACTTGTGCACTTGAAGGCTGTCTTGCATTTGTACTTATGTACCTGATTTCTTCTTAAGAATAATTGAATATAACCTGATTTCTTATAGGAATCCAAAAGGCTAGCTCTTGTTTATGAATTTTTAATTGTTCTTATATACTTACACAAATGCTGTTTTTCTTCATTTCTCATTTGAGTTAACTAAGTGTATTAGCTCATGAACTAAATGTAGCTTCCTGGATCTTTAGAACAGTGTGTTTGGGCTGACTTTCTTGTTTGGGGTTTGAGGATAGGTGAAGAAATAACTCGAGAATCCAAAAAAGCAAGAAAAATAGGTGGCCTTACTGGTAGCAGTTCTGATGATAGTGGAAGTGAATCTGATGCCTCCGATAATGAAGAAAGTGACTACGAGAGCTCTAAAAACATGAGTTCTGGAGATGACGATGATTTCAACCCATTTAGAGATGAGTCTAGTGAGGATGATGAAGATGGTGAGTTCATGAATCTATTAAATGTAAGCTAAAGGATAGTTATTTCTGTGTATTTGTTTATTTATTTTTGGCTGCGTTGGGTCTTAGTTGCGACAGGCGGGATCTTTTGTCGCGGCGTGCGGGCTTCTCTCTAGTTGTGGCACGCAGGCTGCAGAGCACATGGGCTCTAGTTGCGGCACACGAGCTTAGTTGCCCTGTGGTATGTGGGATCTTAGTTCCCTGACCAGGGATCAAACCTGCATCCTCTGTAATTGGAAGGCAGATTCTTAATCGCTGGACCACTAGGGACGTCCCTATTTCTGTGTATTTGAAATGGGGTATTGTACTAAAACCTTTTTTTTCCTATAGAAATCATCACACAGATTCTAATCTTTGCTTGGTGGCAGCTCCAAGCTTGTCTGTCTTCTGGAGGTTCAGCATATTTATGTGAGATCATGACCTCAATTTTGTGCACTTAAGTATAACCTCAAACCATGGAATTTACCTCATGGTGTATGGGTGTACTAGACCTCTGAAGTTGGTGGTGGTTTACAAGTTGTCGCTCAACAATACAAAAAAACTCAACGGTTGTTTCCTTTGGAAATTCTGTACTTGTGTTAACAAATGATTTGATACGTGTCTTTCCTTAATTTTCAGATCCCTGGTTAATCAGAAAGGACCACAAGAAAAACAAAGATAAAAAAAAAAAGAGAAGTATAGATCCAGATTCTATTCAAAGTGCCTTATTAGCATCAGGTCTTGGATCAAAACGACCTAGTTTTTCTTCTACACCAGTAATTTCACCTGCTCCTAACAGTGCACCAGGTATCCATGTGGAAGCTTGCTTTGTCTGTGAAATGTACTTTTAAACAAAACAAATATTTAAACTTTGTACTGATTTTTAACAAATGTACTTCATCTAGCTAACAGTAACACCAACAGCAACAATAGCCTTATAACAAGTCAGGATGCCGTGGAAAGGGCCCAGCAGATGAAGAAAGACCTACTTGATAAACTAGAAAAATTAGCTGAAGACCTCCCTCCTAATACCCTGGATGAACTTATTGATGAACTTGGTGGCCCTGAGAATGTTGCTGAGGTAAATATGACTTGATCAGGGCTGTGTCTCTTCTAGGTAATTTTTTGCCACTTTCAAACCCTTTAGAATAAGTAATATATTTGGTATCATCATATAATTATCTAATATCCTCTATTAGATCTTAGAACCCTTGCTCTACTCTAGTTGTCATCCTAGAGCAAGTAAATTCCTGCCCCTATTATCTTGAGTATCTGCCCCAAGACACGGATCTCTGTTATTGCACCTGTCATGCAGTCTTTGTTATCATTGCCGCATGTCTGTTTTCTCCCCTGGAATTTGAACTTTTCAGAACCAGGCACTGTGTTGCAATGTTCTCTCTCCCCCAGTGCCTGATGCAGGACAGGTTGCACAGTACATGCTGGTTTCATTATCCCTTTCACCTCCCACCGAGTTTCTATGTTGGGAGCCCTGAGCTTCATGCACCATAGTCAGCTACATTAATTGTAAGTGACGCTGTTTGGCTTTGCAGATGACTGGCCGCAAGGGGAGGGTTGTAAGCAATGATGATGGAAGTATATCTTATGAGTCAAGATCTGAACTTGATGTCCCTGTGGAAATACTAAATATCACGGAAAAACAAAGATTTATGGATGGAGATAAGGTATGTTTTTCTGGGATGCTTTTTGGCGAAAAGAATAATGCCCATACATTTGGATTAATCTTTAGGTTTTTTCTTTTAATATAAATCATGTCTTTTGAATGTTCTTACTCTATTTTTTTAAGTAAGTACACATAATCACTGAACATTTTCACGTTTTCATTATTTTCTTATAAATCGAATGTGGTGTTTTGTGCATAGAATTAGATGTAGCTCTTGATAGCTTTGGAGGCCTTTGAAGTCTTTAATCAGAATATTGTGTTCTCTCAGGTCATCTTAGTGGCACTACACCTAATGCTACACCCTAGTGTCAGTGTAATCTTGAGTCTAGAAATATATTTAAGCACATGCCCCGATTACTGGGATCCTTTGATCTTGCTGTTTATTGTCTTGCTCTGCCATGTCCTGTTGAGACGATTTACTCTGAATGGTTGTAGATTACACTTGCGTAACTGACCACTGCAGAGGTCGTGGTCACCTTCAGAGGCCCTTTCTGTATGCTCTTATTGTTAAGTAAACTTCATCAATTTTCAGATTCTCAGATCAGTTCTTCCTCCATCTAGTTGGAATTGCTATAAGCGTTTTGCTAAAAAATAGGTAGGAGCACCACTTCAACCTCCTTCCTTAATCTAAAGGGGGTAGAATAAAATCTTATCTCTTTATCCACATTTTGCTTTGTATTTCAAAATTTTTTTGCCTCTGCAACTAGAAAATAGACAGTAGCTATTACCATTATCAAAGTTGTCTCTTAAATGTATTTAAAAGCTCATGTTACATATTTTAAAGATTATAGGTAGAGGTATTATCAGTTATTTTAAGTACTTGTTTCGTTAGTAATTTAGGCCCATGTGCATTAGAAATTGTATTAGTTGGGATCAGATTTGGCTGTTAAGTGACAGAAAATCCAAAATCATATTCGCTTAAAGTGGAAGTTCATTTCTCTCATGTACAAGTTTGAGTAGGTGGACCAGGACTGGTATGACCCCTTGAAGTCTAGGTCTCTTCTGTCTTGTTCCTTTAGTATGCAGCCTTCCATTTCCTAGTTACCTCCATATTTCAGGTTCAGTCATCACACCTCTACATTTCAGTCAGCAGAGAGAAAAAAAGAGGAGGGGAAGGGCATATCTTTGATTAGGGACATTTCCTGGACGTTGTTCAGGTGACCTACTGGCTGGAGTGTGCCCACACTTAGCTGTAAGGGAGACTGGGAAATGTAATCTTGATTCTGGGTGTCCTTGTAACCATGTACAGCTAAAACTGAGAGTTAGGAAGTAAAGGAGAATACGTATTGGTGGATGTTTCCCCACCTCTCTTTGTGCAGAAGTGATCTTTTGTTCTTTTTTCCTTACATTTGATACAGAATATTGCTATCATCTCAGAAGCTGCCAGCTCAGGTATTTCATTACAAGCAGATAGGAGAGCTAAAAATCAAAGGCGAAGAGTTCATATGACCCTGGAATTACCATGGAGTGCTGATAGAGCAATTCAGCAGTTTGGTAAGTTCCTACACTGAGTTTCACTTCATAGCCAGGAATTACTGGCGAAATATTTTAATGCTAGATATACTAAACTTGACACATATGTAGGTTTTGGAGATGTTTGTGTATTGCATATACCTTAAAATATAGAGGGCATCATGAATTTATTTCTTGGCTGTTTTAAAAGCTGTAAAAGACCTATGGTAGGGCTTTCTGGCATTATATTCAAGAATGGGGCTCCTCAGGAGTATCTTCATTGTAGATCTCCAAGGGTGTTATCCATGTCAGAGCAGCTGCCACTTGATGTCTTTTTCAACCCCCAGTAGCTTCATTGAGGGCACATTGCTCCTCCCTTCCCTTCCATCTTCATGTCCCTGTGACCTGGTGATTTAAAACAACAATAACAACAATTTTGGGAGAATCCAGAGCAGCTGTGCATCAGCAACATTGTGGTCAACTAAACTGGGGTAGCACCAGTAATGTGTTTATCATTTAATAATTTTATGGAGTTTCTGCTCCCCCATAAGTGGGAGTAAGGTTCTGAATACAGATGTTGTTCAAGTTGGCGTTTTTGATTTTGTGCCTTTTGGGGAGTTAGGGTAATTGTTACATTCTTTAATTTTTCTTCTGATTTAAAGATTTCTGGATACCAGCTTACTGTTAAGTGCTGGGAATAGGTCTCAGAATATTAGTATCTAGAGAGCACAATCAGCGAATTTTTTTTTTTTTTTTTTTTTGTCATTACAGGACGAACTCATAGATCAAACCAAGTTACTGCTCCGGAATACGTCTTTCTGATTTCTGAATTGGCAGGAGAACAAAGATTTGCATCTATTGTTGCTAAAAGACTTGAGAGTTTGGTAAGTTTTTGAGTTATATAGATGTGTGTAAAAGATGATATATGTTAACCTGTCTTCTGTGCCTTGATTGGAGATTTTATGTTTGGATAGGGTGCGCTTACACATGGAGACAGAAGAGCAACAGAATCCAGAGATCTGAGTAGGTTCAACTTTGATAATAAGGTACATTTCAGCTTTCACTATCTGTGAAAAATGATTGCAGTGTATGTCTGTAAGGAACAGAAAGGGAACAGAAAGGGAAAGGAACAGAAAGGGAAAGTGGTTGCTGTTTAAAACTTAAAGCTGCCTCCTCTTATGGTTTTGCTATAAAGTCATGGCTAGTCCTATAAGACACGTGGCAGTTAGATCTTTGGTGATCAACTGTGCAATATAATCATCTTCTCATTCCTATTGGAAAATAAGATTATAATAAATACTTGTGGATGAATGAAGTGTGAGTTCCCAGAAGTAAAGAAAGTTGTTTATTTATGGAATGCCTGCTGTGTACAAAGGTGTGAATGAGGCACTAGGCAGTGTAAAATATATATAAAAATAATTGAGTCCTGCTATTTTTGACTCTTTGGTACAATAATAGTTTTTATAGCATTCACTTGGTCATGTGGTTGAAGAGTATCCAAATGCTGAAACTTGTTAAATTTATTTGGTTTTTATTGCAGTATGGAAGAAATGCTTTAGAAATTGTCATGAAATCCATTGTAAACCTAGATTCTCCTATGGTATCACCACCTCCAGACTATCCTGGAGAATTCTTTAAAGGTAACTTTTAAAAATAATCATAACAAAGGAAAATGAGTACTGACAAGAAGGTACAAAACTCATTCTAACATGTGCTCTTGTTTTTAGTTTTCTTTGGACATAAAATGTATAAAATTTAGAAATTGATAGTTAACAGACACCTAAATTGATGTCTTATAATAAGCAGTAGATTTATTAAATTTTCATTCAGGTGACGTGTTTTTACTGTTGATAGAGTTCGTTGCATGTTGTTTAATACTAGATTACTAGAGGAAAAATGGTTTTGTTAGATTAATTTGAACATGACTATGCCAAATAGCTTTTAAAATTTAAAGTACCTAGGTAAATAATCTGTGGGGGCTAGTGGAGGTACAGATAAAACTGGCCGTGTATTAACTGTTGTTAAAACTGGGTGCTGGGTACCTGTGGTCCGTAGAATATTCTCTTTACATTTGTGTGTATTTAGAAATTTTTATATTTAAAAAAAAGTCCTAAGTAGTGCTATAGAAATTCTTAGATGTATCTTGCAAATCTGAAGAATAGATTTTACCCCATTAATATTAGTAGTCTGGGTGATTTCAGTAGTTCAGCAAACTGAAAATATTTTGGAAAATAAACAGATGTAAGGTATTTGAAACATTATCCTTATAGAGTTAGCATTTTTTACTAGGAAGTCCTTTCCAATTGAACCCATGTTTAGTGTTGGTAACAGTCCATATTGACGTAGCTGGCAGGGGTGCTTATAATCACTGATGGCATTTAACAAAACAAAAAACCAATAAAGTCTTGGCCCTGTTCTTTTTCTCCCTTTCCCTTTCATTCCCTCTTATTTTCTTTTTGTTTGGTCATTGGAGGGATTGTCAAAAACAACTCCCCAATTTATTTCTAATTCTAAAAAATTACATGTTTTTTATTCATTATAAGTGATGAAAACAATCTAAAAGTGAATAATGAGCCCATACCCTCTCCTTAACTACCTGCTACCTACCAGTCTCACCTGCTGAGGTTAACAAATGTTGACAGTCTGAACAGGGGCAGCCTTAACACACCTTTATCCATTTGTCTAAACACAGAGCTTTTTAAAAAAAAAACATGTTAATATTACTTGCAACGTACTTTTCTCACTTGGTACATCACAGGCATCCCTTACAAATCAATAGCTATAGTACTAACACATATTTTAACAGTTGTGTAATATTCTACATCTAGCTTATGTAACAGTTTTTCCCTTGTTGATGTTCAAGTGGCTTTCATTTTTTTGCATCACAAACAGTGCTGGAATTATAGCAGCTATCCTTCTATTCAGGAATTTCCTCCCATAGGATGGATTCCCAAAATGAGGATTTTTTGCATTGGAGCTCTTTGGCTACAGAGTTGTCATCTTCTGCAGAATCTACACATTTTGAGCATGTAGCAGTCTAGCTGATTAAATAAATGTGTAAATAGGATATAATTATGCTTCCTGTTGATCCTTTTCTCTTTCTTAAACCCTTTTTACTGTAAGTCTGGGTTAGATCCTGGACACAAATACTTTTTAAAAGTTTTATAAACTGTCCTCTTAGTAACGTAATTCAGAACATGTTGACAGTTATACACGTTGCTTATCTTCTGCATCGCCTTGTCAGTACTGATAGGTAACGTTTGGAAAGGAAGCATGATTATTTCCTTATATAAATTATTTAATCAGTATCCTGCTGTATGTTCAAAGTTGTTTAGATTCTGTGGGTGACAGTGTTGTAGCCAAGGATCTCCACTGCCAAAGGTTGTTGTTGAAAAGATACGACATTTTAGTGAAATAATAAAATATAATGTGAGGTTTGAGTATTCTAGGATTTTAAAGATCTTTAGGGGCTGTGGGTTCCATTTAATTCAGCTAATAGGAACTATGGAAGATACATAGACTGTGTCTTATATGCTAGAACTTGATCTAATTTGATTAGTCAGTTAACAGCTCATTGAGTTATTTGGGCTATAAGGTTTATTTTTTGTTTGTTTTAATTTATTTTTATTTTTGGCTGTATTGGGTCTTCGTTGCTGTTTGCAGGCTTTCTCTAGTTGTGGCGAGTGGGTTTCTCACTGCAGTGGTGCAGTGGCTTCTCTTGTTGTGGAGCATGGGCTCTAGGCGTGCGGGCTCCAGTAGTTGTGGTTCGCGGGCTCTAGAGCACAGGCTCAGTAGTTGTGGCGCACGAGCCTAGTTGTTCCACGGCATGTGGGATCTTCCCGGACCAGGGCTCTAACCCGTGTCCCCTGCATTGGTAGGCGGATTCTTAACCACTGCGCCACCAGGGAAGCCCTGGGCTATAAGGTTTTTTATAAATTTGTTTTATTACAGATGTTCGACAAGGACTGATAGGAGTTGGCCTGATAAATGTAGAAGATCGTTCAGGAATTCTTACTCTAGATAAAGGTAATGGTATGACTTTTGTATGTATGTTCATAACTGTTGCTGTATCATTATAGCCCATTTTGTTGTTTATGCTTTCGTCAAGTTGAAGGGGAAGCTTCAAGTCTCTAGGTCTCAATCCCTCATTACTGAGTGCTCACAGAGCATTCTGGGTGGTTTTTGCTATGAATAACTATGGTTATTCAAGAAATTAAATCTCTATTCTCTCTACATAGCAGCAGTTCTCAAACCAGGTTGCGTATATGATCAGCTGTTGAGTTTTTAAAAAAGTACTGAAGCCAGGGCAGGAGCTCAGACGTCGGTAATTTTCCAGAAGCTCCTGGGCATTCTTACTTGTGCAGCCAAAGTTGAGCTTCACTGACTTAACAGCACTTAAACTTTATGGGTTAAGACTTAATGTTGGAAAACTAACATTCTGTTGTGCTAAATTATATGCATACCTTCAGTAAGTGAAGCTGAAGATGCAAAAATTCAATTTGGCAAACATCTTTTGAGCATGTAGTATAGTCGTGCTAATTGCTAGAGGTAGAAGCGGTCGAAGTATAGCCCTGTTCTGGGAACGGTACAGGAGTTGTGAGGGAAGTCTTAGAGAAGAAAGTGAGACTCTTACTAGGCTGAGATGAATAAATTTTTTAAATTGCCATTTGAATGCATTAAATCTTTCATACAATCTTGTCATTGCAGATTATAACAACATAGGAAAATTCTTAAATAGAATTTTGGGCATGGAGGTGCATCAGCAGAATGCGTTATTTCAGTATTTTGCAGACACACTTACTGCAGTTGTTCAAAATGCCAAAAAAAATGGAAGATATGATATGGGAATCTTAGGTAAGTTGGGAAATTTTTAAAACATCTTATGTATTCTTTTTTTCTTTCTTTTTAATTAATTAATTAATTTTATTTTTGGCTGCATTGGGTTTTCTTTGCTGCACATGGAGTTTCTGTAGTTGCAGTAAGCGGGAGATACTCTTCGTTGTGGTGCCTGGGCTTCTTGTTGCCGTGGCTTCTCTTGTTGCAGAGCATGAGCTCTAGGTACACGGGCTTCAGTAGTTGTGGCACGCGAGCTCTAGAGCACAGGCTCAGTAGTTGTGGCGCATGGGCCTAGTTGCTCTGCGGCATGTGGGATCTTCCCCGACCAGGGCTCGAACCTGTGTCCCCTGCATTGGCAGGCGGATTCTTAACCACTGCGCCACCAGGGAAGCCTGTCATATGTATTATTGATGAAAAATTTTTTTTATACTTATATGTTGCTTTTTCTTGTTCAAGATCTTGGTTCTGGAGATGAAAAAGTGAGGAAAAGTGATGTTAAGAAGTTTCTGACTCCAGGATATTCAACCTCTGGCCATGTAGAATTATACACGGTAAGTTTAGAAAACGTGCACATTCAAGTATAATATCATTTTCTGGTAAGCATTCTCCGAAGTGAGTTTAATTTAAATTTTATTATTATTTTTTTTACAGATAAGTGTAGAGAGGGGAATGTCCTGGGAGGAAGCTACCAAGATTTGGGCTGAGTTGACAGGACCAGATGATGGCTTTTATTTGTCATTGCAAGTAAGGCTTGTTTCCCTTAAATGTTAGTTGTTAAGATGTGTAATGTGTTTTCATTGCCAGCATTGTAATTACCTGTTCGCTTTGTGCTGATTTTCCAATTGTATTTAGCTTTCTGTGTTTTGATAATTTATCACTGTAATTGTGATATATTTTTATTTAATACGTTTTGAGGAGTATTATTAAATGCTAGTTTTAAATTATTACTTATTGGGGAATTCCCTGGTGGTCCAGTGGTTACTATTCCACACTTCCACTGCAGGGGGCACAGGTTTGATCCCTGGTCAGGGAATTAAGATCCTGCATACTGCGTGGTGTGGGCAAAAAAAAAAATGTTTACATATTATTAGTAAATTGAACCCTTTTTTTCCATAATATAGTGAGTGACCTTCTTTAGTCATAATAATGCTTTATGTCATCAAGATTCAGTTTTCAGTTATTAGTGTAACTACATTCATTGGTTTAGTATTTGCCTGTGGACAGAGCTAAGGAGAGAGGATGTGTGAGTGTGTATGTGTGTGTGTGCACGTGTGTGTACGTGTTTATATTTAGACATATACATATACACACACAAATGAATGCATATTTATTTGTCCTGATCAAAACTATGGAATTTTGGGGCTTCCCTGGTGGCGCAGTGGTTGAGAGTCCGCCTGCTGATGCAGGGGACACGGGTTCGTGCCCCGGTCCGGGAGGATCCCATATGCCGCGGAGCGGCTGGGCCCGTGAGCCATGGCCGCTGAGCCTGTGCTTCTGGAGCCTGTGCTCCGCAACGGGAGAGGCCACAACAGTGTGAGGCCCACGTACCACAAAAAACAAACAAAAAATGTGGAATTTTAATCTTATCTCTTCTCTGATTTTTTTTTTTAATTTATTTTATTTTTGGCTGTGTTAGGTCTTCATTGCTGTGCGCGGGCTTTCTTTAGTTGCAGCGACTGGGGCCTACTCTGTGGTGCGCGGGCTTCTCGTTGTGGTGGCTTCTCTTGTTGAGAGGCATGAGCTCTAGGTGCGCGGGCTTCAGTAGTTGTGGCACGTGGTCTCAGTAGTTGTGGCACGCGGGCTCTAGAGCACAGGCTCAGTAGTTGTGGCAGACGGGCTTAATTGCTCCGCCGCATGTGGGATCTTTCCAGACCAGGGCTGAACCTGCGTCCTCTGCATTGGCAGATGGATTCTTAACCCCTGCGCCACCAGGGAAGACCTTTCTCTGAAATTTTGGTCTTCTTTCTTCCACACTAATAATCCCTGTTCTTCAGGGCACACAGGATGATAAAATATCATGGATACTATGCCCCAGTATTTTGAAAATATTTTTGTTGTAATAACTTTTTTTGCATAAACTTACTTTATGCTATTTAAAAAATAGTTATACTGTTTCTGCACGTCAACATATGGCAATTACATAGTATACTCTTCTTTTTTTTTTTTTTGGTACGCGGGCCTCTCACTGTTGTGCCCTCTCCCGTTGCGGAGCACAGGTTCCGGACGCACAGGCTCAGGGGCCATGGCTCACGGGCCTAGCCGCTCTGCGGCATGTAGGATCTTCCTGGACCGGGGCACGAACCCGTGTCCCCTGCATCGGCAGGCGGACTCTCAACCACTGCACCACCAGGGAAGCCCTATACTCTTCTTTTAACCCTTAATTAATCTTAGTTCTACAGGTAATTAATTTATAATTAAAGCTCACCACTCACTCACTAGTCCTTAGGTTAATATCTCTCTAGTTATTTTGTCTGAAGCCCATTATGTAGTAGATTCAGGAAGGGCTTATGGAAACATTACTCCCTGAATTCTTACGTGCTGGTAAGTTTGTGCCTTTGTACTTGAAAGACAAATTTTACCAGACATGAAATCTTTTTTTTTTTTTGCGGTACGCGGGCCTCTCACTGTTGTGGCCTCTCCTGTTGCGGAGCACAGGCTCCAGACACGCAGGCTCAGCGGCCATGGCTCACGGGCACAGCCGCCCCGCGGCATGTGGGATCCTCCTGGACCGGGGCACGAACCCACGTCCCCTGCATCGGCAGGCAGACTCCCAACCACTGCGCCACCAGGGAAGCCCAGACATGAAATCTTTAGTTCACGTTTTCTTTTCTTGGATATCTTAAAGATGCTGCTACTTATTCTTTTGAGATAGAGTTGCTGTCAAAAAAAATTTTTTTTAATTATTTTTATTTTGGGCTGCGTTGGGGCTTCATTGCTGGGCGTGGGCTTTCTTTAGTTGAGGCGAGCAGGGGCTACTCTTCGTTGCGGTGCGCGGGCTTCTCATTGCGGTGGCTTCTCTTGTTGCAGAGCACGGGCACTAGGCGCGTGGGCTTCAGTAGTTGCAGCATGTAGGCTTCAGTAGTTGTGGCTCACGGGCTCTAGAGTGCAGGCTCAGTAGTTGTGGCGCATGGGCTTAGTTGCTCTGCGGCATGTGGGATCTTCCCAGACCAGGGCTTGAACCTGTGTCCCTGCATTGGCAGGCAGATTCTTAACCACTGCGCCACCAGGGAAGTTCTCTACGTTTTGTTAACTTTTTAAAATTATGGTAAAATATATAACAAAGTTTGCCATTTTATCCATTTTAAAGTGTATGATTTAGTGTCATTAATTATATTCACAATGTTGTGCCAACATCACCATTAAACAGTAGCTTTCCCCTGGCCTGATAACCTTTGATCTATTTTTTGTCTATGAGTTTGCGTATCTTGGTACCTCATATAAGTGGAATCGTGCAGTATGTGACAGTTGTGTCTGGCTTCTTTCACTCGGCATAATGTTTTCAAGGTTCGTCCATGTTGTAGAATGTGTCATAACTTCCTTTCTTTTTGTGACTAATATTGCTTTGTATGTGTGTAGCACATTTTACTTTTTATTTGCAAATATTGGGTTGGCCAAAAAGTTCGTTGGGGTTTTTCAGTAAGATGGTACCAAAAACCCGAACGAACTTTTTGGCCAAGCCCTTTATGGAGTGACCAACTGTAAATGAAGACCTGGTTCAAGAACTGCGTAAAGGAGACCAAATATGATGATGCCACAGGCAGAGTGAAACCATAAGTAAGCTCTCTAGAGCAGGAATCCCTAAATTTTTTATGTCAGGGGTCAGGTAGTATTTCAGGTTTTGCAGAGAATATGTGGTCTCTGCTGACTATTCTTTGTGGATTTTTTTTTCTTAAATTCTTTAATTGAATTATGTACCCATGAATGCATTATTACACTTGTGAAAAAATTTAAATACAGATAGCACTAAATTTTTTGACCATCATTCCCAGCCACGGTCCCTTCCCACCTTCCCAGAGGTAGCCACCGCTACCAGTTTTGTGTCTATTCTCCCAGACCATTTTCTGTGCATTTAATGCATATGTATTATAGCCATAGGAAACAATTTACTGTTTTAGATGGTTGATTTGTTGTTGGTTATTTTTTTTACACCAATTCTATGATACAGTATCGATCATTCTTTAAATTGCCTTTCTCACTAAACAATCAGTCTTGGAGTGCTTTCTGTATTGATACTTATAGGACTACTTCATTCATTGTGGCTGTTGCATGGTATTCTGTGTTATGAATATACCATGGTTTATTTAGCCTGTGTCGTATTAATTGACTTTTAGGTTGTTTCCATTTTTTCTCTTACAAAGGACATGCTTCTTTATGTACCTGTGTGAGTGTATCTCTAGAGTAGATTCAGAGAAATGGCATCACTGGATCTTAAGATCACTTACTTCTTTCTATGTGTGAATGAGAGGATAAACTCTTTTGAAGATCCTGGAGGAGAAAAAGTTTAGTTCTTAAAAGTCTGAAAAATGATTTTCCCCCCAGCTTTGTTCTTGGCTTCTAGTATTATCTTGAGGTTTCTAGCTAGGGTGGGATGGGTAAAACTGAACAAGTAAAAGGACATATCAGGATTGAGGGGAAAGATAACAAGCAGATTTGGCTGAGTTTAAGTTGCTGCCTTCTCCTTTTTTTTTTTTTAAACATCTTTATTGGAGTATACAATGCTTTACAACATTGCTTTACAATGTTGTGTTAGTTTCTGCTGTATAACAAGATGAATCAGCTATACGTATACGTATATCCCCACATCCCCTCCCTCTTGTGCCTCCCTCCCACCCTCCCTATCCCACCCCTCTAGGTGCTCACAAAGCACCGAGCTGATCTCCCTGTGCTATGCAGCTGCTTCCCACTAGCTATGTATTTTACATTTGGTAATGTATATATGTCAGTGCTACTCTCTCACTTGGTCCTGGCTTACCGTATCCCATCCCTGTGTCCTCAAGTCTATTCTCTACGTCTGGGTCTTTATTCCTGTCCTGACCCTAGGTTCAACAGCATGGATTTTTTTCCTTCCTAAGAAACTTTCTCCGTTCCTTCCTTAAACTATTCTTAAGCTTAGGAGCCTCAAGCCATTTGGTCCATAAACCTGGTTTACTGGTCTCTGATTCAATAGCAAAGCTCTCAAACTGGATCTGGCTCCTAGTTGTGCATGTATGTGTGTGTATGTGTGTTTGAAAATCTTATTGAGATTATTGTAGATTCTCATGAGGTTATAAGAAATAATACAGAGAAATTCCTTTTACACCAGTTTTCCCAATGGTAACATTTTACAAACCTATAGTATAATATCACAACCAAGATACTGATACAGTTCACTAGATTTTATTCAGATTTCTCTCGAGACCTTGGATGGGATTTTGATTGGTCACTATAGGATATTGGTTATTTTATTTATTTATTTATTTTTGTGGTACGTGGGCCTCCCACCACCGTGGGCTCTCCCGTTGCGGAGCACAGGCTCTGGACGCACAGGCCCAGTGGCCATGGCTTATGGGCGCAGCCGCTCCGCGGCATGTGGGATCTTCCCGGACCGGGTCATGAACCCGTGTCCCCTGCATCGGCAGGCGGACCCTCAACCACTGTGCCACCAGGGAAGCCTGGTTATATTTTTTTCACTTGAAATTATTGCCAAATTGAGGCACCGGTAGGTTTTGATGAAAATGCTGATCCCCACCAGTTTCCCTTGAGTGAAAGGATGTGGTAGCGTTGTCCTTTGTTACTCTCTGCTGCACGGCCACAGGCAGCTGGTTGTGAAGAGTGAGGACCTTGGAAGAGACATCCTTCCAAGAAGCTGTAGCCTCCTTCATTGAGCCGCCTCAGCAGCAAGCAGTTTCAACTTGCAGTGTGTTTACCGTGTGTTGACATTAGGAAAGCCATGTCAGAATCACTTTTAATTCCACTGTAGTGTGATGATTTATTTTATAGTTACAATGAATTAACCTGACACTGTCAAGATAGATCACACTGCTATGTGCTTTAAACACTGCCTTAAAGTATAGTTAGCTAGAGAATTTCACATCAGCTGCTACAAAATTTTATATGTATTTTTCACTTAACTTTTGTTTCATAGACTTTGCAGTAATTATATAAACAATGTTTCAAATCATTTGAGCAAGTAAAAGACGAAGGATCTTTAGTATCAATGAAGAGAAAAGTAAAGTATTAGGTCCTTTTATCAGCGTAAGAATTATCTTAATATAAAAAGGTAGTAGGGCTTCCCTGGTGGCGCAGTGGTTGAGAGTCCGCCTGCCCATGCAGGGGACACGGGTTGGTGCCCCGGTCCGGGAAGATCCCACATACTGCGGAGCAGCTGGACCCGTGAGCCATGGCCACTGAGCCTGCACGTCCGGAGCCTGTGCTCCGCAACGGGAGAGGGCACGTCAGTGAGAGGCCCACGTACGTACCGCAAAAATAAAATAAAATTTAAAAAAGGTAGTAGCTTAGCAAATGATTTATTTTGTAGAGGAGCTGGGAAAATACCTTTGAAACTTTTCTTTTTCCTTCAGTTTTGCTCCGGAGACTGTTGCTTTGAAATTGTTCACCATTCTTCAAAAGAAATACTAATTTTCCCAATCTTATTTTTCCTTGCGTTAAATGGGGCTTTTTACAAATCTCAGGGTTCTTCTCATAAAGTCCAACTTTTAAAAAATTTTTAAAATAAAACAAGTTCCATCGTTTGTCTAATGCATCGTTTTCTTCCACTTCTGCATCATATTTATGTATTATTTGTTCAGCATTTGGCTTTCTCCTGTTACAGTGTTACTGTTTACAGATGAATTTGTGATATTTCATGTGATATTTTACCGTCACACAACCATAGGAATAGGTTGTAGCACTGATGGAGTAGATGAATTCAGAGGACTGTGGGTGATCAAAAGGCATTATCTTGAAGGTTATATATTTCATTGTAACTTGAAGGAGAGTAACATACAGTAGAGGTAAAATTATTTCCTGTGAAGACCCTTCCTGCCCACTACCTAGATTCTTACCTCACATACCTCTGACCCTGTTGAGGCTGCAAGTCCAGTTTCCTGGACTAGAGGAAGCAAAATTGTCTCCACTGGACATCGTGCTTTAAATCTTATTACTCAACACAATTTTCTAAAGATTGTCTTGCCTCAGAGATAAGGTCCATTAGCCTTCACTTTGGTGAGACCTTGTTCAAGTCGGTTACACAGCAGGTGTTATTCCTTTCACACAGTTTTGTATTTACAAACTCATTTGGCTTTGATCGTGATGTGATGGTGCAAACAGCAAGCATGTCTTAAAGTGTGCAGTATTGAATCTTTATATTTTCTCACCTATTTATTTATTTATTTTTAATAGATAAGAAACAACAAGAAAACTGCCATCTTAGTTAAAGAAGTGAATCCTAAAAAGAAGCTTTTCTTAGTTTATAGACCAAATACTGGGAAACAGCTCAAATTAGAAATTTATGCTGATCTAAAAAAGAAATATAAGAAGGTATTTTTCCATTTGTACATGATGTTATGTATAAATACTTGTTTTATAATAATATATTGCAACTATGTTTATATGTAAATTGTCAATTTTTCCTATTTGATTACTGGAAAATTGTTTCAGAAAAAGTTTTATCAACTCTTGTTAAATTAATATCCCAGTCTTAATGTTATCAACTGTTAGGAAACTTAAAGGTGATTATTTGAAACAGCTTATGTTATCAGAAAAGGAAGTTTCTATAGTGCTAACTACAAAAATTAGAATTTTTTAAATAAAGGGAAGATGTACAAGACTGAAATTCCTTCCCACCAGCTCTTGGTTTTACTGTGAACTGCTGTGTTTATATTTTGCAATAATTTCTGGAAAAACAGTGATATCTCTTTTTCCTAACTTTACTATGTTATTTTGTTGTTAGTATTACCTTATATTACTATTATTCCTAGCCATTTTCACTTGCAAACAATTATAATTAAGTTAACTATTTGAAATGTTCATTACATGGGAAAAACCTCATGGCAGAGCTTTATGGGTAAAATTCAAATGCAAGCAGTAGTGAAGACCATGGTTTCTGTATAAAGATGGTTTTAAGTTGGCTTTAGAGACCAAATTAGGCAACCAGTTTGTTTAAAACAATACCTTTTCAATGGAATTTTTGTCTTATTTTCACAGGTAGTCTCAGACGATGCCCTGGTCCACTGGTTAGATCAGTATAATTCATCTGCAGATACTTGTACTCATGCTTATTGGTTAGTTTTCATTTTTCTCACCATATATTCCAAAGTATGATCAAGATTTAAACACCCCTTCATTCTTTAGCTATCTGTCCCTATAAGTACACAAGCAGATTATCAATTGCTCGGTGTTGTTTCTTTAAGCAGAGGTACTTGTTGGAAGCCTCTGGACCATGCACTGTTTTAGGTCTCCCCACTGATGCTTTGTTACTTCCAACCAAATGTTGTCTGCCAGCATGGACTTAACTATCATTCTTAGGGTTGAGACTTTTTCCTTCTCCTCTCCTTCCTTCCCTTCCTTTATTTTTTCCTTCCTCCAAAGTTTTATTGGTGTCCCAAATCAGTTTTATTTTTAAGGCTAGGGAACTTCTAGGAAACCACAGAGGTACCTCAAATAGTTAACAGCACTAGAAACTTTGTTGTTGAGCCCTGGAGCTGATCCTGCGTCCTACTAGGCTAGCCAGAGGTGTTCTCAAGTCATTATGTTCATTTCAGGGCATTGAAAATGGAGTATCTGGCCCACTTTTTGAAAAGGGATACAGGATATAGATGAATTTTAGCTAGGTTTTTATTTAGACACATGTAGGTAGATAAATTTGCTTTTGTTTATTTGCTGAGGGCTTTTCCACTTACCTGATTTAGAACTGTATATTGGTAGTTTAATACTATGGAAATAACTGGCAGGATTATTTTATAAACTGACATTAATACAGTAAACTAATGGATATTAAAATGACAAATGCTTAAATGGATATCAAGACCAATAAATCAGCCCTTTTATAAGGGAGTCAGGCCCAAGAAATAACTAATTTTAAAATCAGTAGTGATACCTTAAGTTGGACAGGATAATCCAATGTCAGAAGGACTGCAGTCTACAAACTTTATCAGTAAAGGTAAATGACGGTAGGCCGTTTTCCATTTGAAATTAGGGTAGACCTTGTGGGCCTTGTGTGTGTGTGTGCGCGCGTGTGCGTGTGTGCGTGTGTGCACGCACATATACATTTTTTTCCTTATTATCTATCCTAGGCGTGGCAATTGCAAAAAAGCAAGTTTGGGATTAGTTTGTGAAATAGGTCTTCGTTGCCGCACATACTATGTATTATGTGGCTCAGTACTGAGTGTCTGGACAAAAGTCGAGGGTGTTCTCGCATCTGTCAGTGGCACAAACGTGAAAATGCAGATAGTTCGGCTAAGAACAGAGGATGGACAGCGGATTGTAGGTGAGTTTTAATTTTTTTTTGGTTTGAGCCTTGAGAAGAAAAATCAGGTCCTGTGTTTTTCTTATTTTGCTTCTAACGTCTTAGAATCTTAGCATCTGTCTATTCCAGTGGTGGGGTAGAGCTTGCTTTATATTATGTTCTTAAAAGGATAAACAGTAGTTAAGCTTTTGAATGGGTGTAGTTGGCTCTGGCTGAAATCCTGATGTGGTTGTGATTTTATGCTGCCCTCGGTGCTCTTGCTCCCCTCCCTCACTGTCGACATCTGTGCAGGCTCCCTGGTATGAAGACTAAGGATTCTCTGAAGTCTTTATGTTCATTGTGCCACATTGAGACTATGGAAGTCAAAGCCACTGTGCACAGGGGATGGACTGGAGTCCTGCAGGGAGCAAGGGAGACCAGGCTAGCCGCTCCCACTGTTCCCTCAATGACAGGCCTCACGGAAATCCACCCAGTTATTGCACTTTCCCTGTCGCATTGTCTTTGTTTCTTTTGCAACAACCTTTCTCTGTATCCTGGGTTGCACATTGGTAGCCTGTGGGCTAGTCAGTCCATGGACATTTTTTTGATCCTCAAGTATTTTTGGTTGCAAGATTTCAATTGAGTTAGTTGCCAACTTTTAAAAATCAAAAGATTGTGGGCTTCCCTGGTGGCGCAGTGGTTAAGAATCTGCCTGTCAATGCAGGGGACACGGGTTCGAGCCCTGGTCCGAATAGATCCCGCATGCCGCGGAGCAACCAAGCCCATGCGCCACAACTACTGAGCCTGCGCTCTAGAGCCCACAAGCCACAACTGCTGAGCCCGTGTGCTGCAACTACTGAAGCCCATGTGCCTAGAGCCCACGCTCCGCAACAAGAGAAGCCACTGTAGTGAGAAGCCCAGGCACCACAATGAAGAGTAGCCCCCGCTCGCCGCCACTAGAGAAACCTTGTGTGCAACAACAAAGACCCAACGCAGCCAAAAATAAATAAATAAAATAAATAAATTTATTTTAAAAAAATCAGAAGACTGGATTTCTATCTTCTTCAAAACAACAACAGCAGCAGCAACAACAGAGAAGCTTGGAACATTGAGCCCCTGTTCCCACATGGGAGGAGTTAAAGTTCCCTTACAGAGGATATATATACTCTCCAGTTTGCTGACTTCCACACTGTGCCACTTAGAAGTTACTGCTTCAGTACGCATTTGAATTTGCAGCCACTATTTTGTAGTCTCTCTGGTGCATTAGTATATGCCAAAGAAGGTGGTGCTTGCATACATTTGTGGAGCTTCAAAGGTAGTAGATAGGAAGGTACTGTACTTGGCCTTCTGTTGCTTCAGCAAGAAGATGGTGTTGCACTAGACACATGCATGTGCTCAGGTATTTGTGGGTGATGCTGCTGAGGAATCGGGCTACTTCTGAAGGGGCCAGTTCAGTTATTAGGTGTTCATTTAGTTTTTTTGTGGAGTCTTATTCATTAAACTTAATATTATACTTCATTTGGAATTTGCTATGAAGCTGTAAAACAGTGTGGTTTCTCCTGGAAGCAACCTTTATAAATTCTTGTTTTCTAATTGCAGGTTTGATCATTCCTGCAAATTGTGTGTCTCCTCTTATAAATCTCCTGTCAACTTCAGACCAGTCTCAACAGCTTGCGGTCCAGCAGAAACAGCTCTGGCAGCAGCGTCACCCCCAGAGCATCGCCAATTTGAGCAACGCATAAGAACAGACAGGTTTCAACATGGATGTATATGAAATGCTGTTGAAGCATATCATTTGCATAAAAATCAGGGACAGTTTCCAAAGAATTATAATTTTTTTTCAGTTGTGCTCTCTCTCTAGTTAATTTTTTTGGGAATAAGGACAAACCTGGAATAGATAGCAAAACTGAAAATCAGCAGTGCCGATGGTGGTACATATGTCTTTCCTCGTGCTTTTCCCATGGTACTTACCGTATGCTTTTACTTTGGGTGAGCAGAGGGGTATGTGCGCGTGTGTGTCAGTCTGTTTGTTTGTGAGTTTGTTAAAAGCTACGAACCATAATTGGTTTAAAAATGCTTGGAACTTCCCAAACTGGCTTTACTTTTATGTTATACAGTGCTCAGGGTTAACGCAGTACATCCATGCCATTGCTGTGGGACTTATCCCCGGATGCATGTGTTTTGAGTCTATAAATAGAGAAAATATATATTGGTTTCTTTTTCCAACTTATTAAAACAATAGGTTTATTAAAGCATGAAATGAAAGGTTACATATCATGCATTCAGGTTCTTTTTCTAGTTTTTGTTCTGACAGTGCATGTCTTTGAAAGCATGCGTAAACAAGATTAACACAGAAGTCAAGTAACGGAGAGAAACATTTGTAGATGTACAGCATTGGTTATTGCATTTTTATAGTGTTTATACCTGGGTATTGCTTCAAACCCTGCGAAATCACCTTCTCCCATTCTCCCTGCCCCAGGTTTCTTGTCAAGGTAATGAGTACATACATTTTTTGGTGATAAAACTCTTAAAAGTTAATTTTAATGTATTAATAGTATTCCTAATGTGTGCTGCAAAAATGGCTACAAGCCTGCTTTTCTTAAAATTACATTTTTCTTAACTTAAAGATAGTTTTAGAAAGAAGTACAAATTGGCTTCCGTCTTGCAAACAATCTTCCTTTTTTTTTACTTCGTTATCTTAATTTGCTTTGTCACTCTTAAAAATGGAAACCGTACTTGAGTTGTAAACTAGACAATGAGGAAACACTTGAGGCTTCTGCTGTATGTTTATTTCTTGTTGTTATTGTTGTTACCCAGTAACTTGAATATTGTTTAATGTGTTGTAAGACATTGTAGAGTTTATCTCAAGCTGTTAAAAATGGTAATGTACAAATGTGAATAGACACTTATCTATAATATGGGTAAGTTTTGTTTCGCCTATAATAGATGTTTATAAAAACAAGTGAGGGGACAATTGGTCTTTTTGTTTCCTTTTTTTTTCCTTTCCTTTTTTTTTTTTGCTTGCACAGGTTGCACTATTGAAAAACTGAGATTGTATAAACCTGATCAAAAGCTGCAAGATACCACAATCTTGTAGATGTCAAATAAAAAGTTATTATACTAAGCAGAAGTGGACTCTTGTTTAGGCCCTCACCACCTTCAAAAGTAGTCTGTGATGGGGATGCTGCAGAACTTGCGTGTTGCTCAACATTCCAGGTAGCCTTATATTTTGGTTTAAAACCTACCCCTCAAAATTGAAATGGTGTTGAGGAAGGGGTAAAATGATAGTACTTTTGAAAGTTTCTCAAGTTGAACTGTTCTCCTTTGTAACTTTCTAAACTTATTGCAGAATTAGGTGAGATATATGTTAAGTGATGGGAAAGCTAGGGCTATCATCCTCTTGTGTTTCTTCAAGCCTGAGTTTGGTTATGTCACGTTTACCATAAGTTTTCTTTCTTTGGAATTATTTATTCTAGACGCCTAAAGGAACAAATTGAGAATAATTTCTGTTCTTTGGCATATTTTGCCCAGTGGATGCAACTTTTATCCTCAGTCTAGTCCTTATATCTCAGGCAGTGATCCATATGAATATCAACCAATGTCCCTTGTTAGGGCCACTAGACCCAGCTGGCAGTCAAGAGCAGAATTGTCCACCTGCACCAAAACTTCCCAGTTAGTTCTTCTGTTTTTAAATCAGGAGCCCAGTCAGCTTCCATCAACATCCCAAGGTGAAATAGAGCTGTGGAGGGGGAAGCATAACAAGCCTGTTACCTCCAGTGAGACAAAATGGCAGGGTTGGGGAAAAGAGACTCCCTCTTGGAGGCTTGGCCCAACTTCCCTTTTTTGTGTGTGGGAGTATCTTTTTTAGCAGGTTATGGTTTTTTCCAAGCAGCTTCAGTGTGAGGATTCTTTAGCATGCAGTTAGTTGACCCTCACAATTTATGATGTAATGTTTGCTCTTGGAATAGCTATCTTGTTACAAAGGGGGATATATGTATGTTCTGTTCTTTGTAGAACAGCTTCGTTTTGCTTTTTTAAAAAAAAGTCCAGAAATAAGGCCTCTGAAAACTCTCAAAGTAGACCTCAGAAAGGCAGCCGTGTAAATGGATGGGGAGCCGAGGTGCCACGTGCACACGCTTACCGTGGTGTGGTGTGCATGTGAGCGCCGGCAGTCTGCTTCCCATCCTCCTCTCTGGAGGTGAACACATGACCTTTAACACTGTGCCCTTACCCAAGTCAGCAAGTTTTAGGTTGGTCAACATGGGAAAACCCAGCATTCAAGGTCCTCCTCTGTCAAAAAATCAAGTCTCAACAACAGCTAACTTCTGTACAACAGATCCTTGTATTTCAGGATCTGAATGCCACGTCTGAACCCAGGGACCTTGTTGAACCCGATGTGAGTCCATTTGGCCTCTGTAATGCCTTTTGTCCCTTTTTAGCAATATGGCTCTGAGCACAAAGATTTTGATTACAAGTCACGTTAGTGTTTTCAGAGTTTACAGTGCCGATTGTACTGAAAACCACTTTCCGAGTCCAGAGCTGCTCAGATGGTATTGGCGGGGGGGTAGTGTTCCCCTAATTTAGCACCCTCCCTACCACAAGCTGCAGTTTAGTGGGATAATCCAGATATTTATCAACGATATGAATTCCTAAAAGTATTAATAAGGTATTTTTAAACACACTTGATGAAAAAGTAAATATCTTAAGCAATTTTCCCTTTTTGCTGCTAAATTGCCGATACACTCTTCAGTATCTTTTCTTTGCATCTGTATATAAGTTAGCAAGAACCTGCATCCAAAGCAATGTAGTGGTGTGTGTATGTATATATATATATTTATTCCAATCCAACTAGCACTTCAGAAACCTTTTTGAGTTGCAACAGTAAACCTTTTACTTGTATTCTGCTTCATCTGTAATGGTGAAAGTTCTAGATTACCAAGCTCCAGGGGTATATAATATTCTAGAAGCATAAGTTTCTGGCTGTAGCCACTGGGGCATTCATTTGCTAATCTCCATGTGATGCTATTAGAGCAACTTCTAACAGGCGTGACGAGAAAGGGTACCAGACACTTACCGTTGTATAATGGGAGCCTTTCCTCAGTCCCCTCCACTTTCCAGTTTAGCAGGAGGGGAAGAAAAGCAATAGATTAGAAATGATTGATGCATTTCAGTTTATGAAAGTAGGAGCAGAGGAAAAGTGTTTTTCACTTGGGTCCTTTTCTTGATTAGATATTAAGAGGAAGGTCCCTATCTAAATACTCTCATTTTAAAAATGTACCTGAAAAAATAAAATAAAAATGTACCTGAATGATATTTGATAGTTTCTAAGAATGGTGCTACATAAGAGTCGCTGTTAGACCAGTATGCAGTTAACAGATGTTTGGTTAGTGCAGGCATCCCAGGGACAGTAGGCATTTGTTGACTATCCTTCCTCTATGTCTGGAGTCTCCTTGGCTAACACCACACCTCGCACGCTCACTGTGCACGCTTTGCTGCTGGAATATGCAGCAGGCAGTCCATGTCATGGCTACAGCTGCGAGCAAAAGCCATTTGTAAAAAGTCCTCATTGGATGCCAGTTGTCTAGTACAAAGGCAGTGTCTTTTAAGGGCATATAAGTGAAGGAAAGACATCTATAGATACCTGTAACTCGAGCTAGCTAGTAATTTTTTTTCTGCATACTTGAGGTGAAATCCAAAACCCACCTTCTGATTTTATGCTGTACTTATATATATATATATATGTACATAATGTGTATATATAGAAATGTTGAGTTCTTTTTGAATTCTGAATGTAAATATTTCTTGTAAATTGGGACGCCACCAGCTTGTTTTTCTCTTTTCCCTCCTCCCTTCAATCCTATTTATTCTTTTCTTGACTTCCCATAGGGGGCTTCTTACAATTTGTTCTTTTTTTTGGATGTAGAAACGTATGAAAAACTTCTTAGTTGAATTTGTTCATATATTTTAGAATTCGGTTTTGCATCTTTACCATAGAATTCCTATGTCTGTTTTGTGTTAATATTTTTCAACATGCCTGATTGTGTTTTGCATTTTTATTACAAATTTTTACTGTGTGCAATGCATTGTATTGGGGGGAATGTACTTGAGTGCAATTTCTGATACTGTCATTATATGACTAGTTATGCTCATTTATGTTGCTCTTTGGAAGCTATAGTGAGCCTCATGTTTTCACCTAAAAAATTTCTTCCCAAGACTTCCTTTAAGCTCCTCTAACTTCTTCAGTGCATTTGGGATCAAACTTGCTCTTCAGTAAACCCGACTTGTTCCTACCCTTGCAATTTTTCAGGCCTGCACCAAATCCTTCATCCTTGTGGCTTTCCAGCTGAGAGGAAAATCTTGCAGATCTGAACAGTGATTTATGACCTGCTACTGCTGCAGATTTTCTGTTTCTTTAAGAAGTCCAGCGTGTACTTTTAGCCTGCAAGTAACAATCAGAAGCTTACTTTCCAGTGAGCATGGGTAATCTGCTTCTGCTCCCACCAGTTAAGGATATTTATAGCAGGAGTGGAGACAGACCTGGTACATGCTGGTGTCCATGCTGACAGGTGACATTAGAGAATGTCTTTTAAGGGACAGTTTTCCTCCGGAATCGAGCAGCACAACTGCTGTGGAGGCTTCCATGAGCCTTCAGCTCAAGGGTTGATTCTGTGCTGAGGGTAAAACAGCCAGTTAACTGTGGAGGGACTGGCTGGTAGGATCTGCTGGGCTGTCCTGCCACCAGTGAGCTGGTGAATTGATCTTGACTAGATTGGCTGTAAAGCTAGGAGCTGAGCTGGATCAGGGCATTCTTAATGATTGGATTAGTGTTGCCAGTAGGGCAGACCCAGGGGTGGCTCACAAAAGTGGTGGTAATCATCACCAGGGAGGCCAACATTGCGTTTTTAATTACAGATTTCGCACTTTTAAGAAAATCTTCCTCCTTAACTTTCAGGAAAGATAGCCGTGAGCCTTTCTTGGGCCTTCATTTGTGTACATGTTTCTCTCGTTACTACTGAACTTCGTAGACTTCCTGAAATTTAAAAGTTGTCTGCATTTAGGTAAGTCTTAGGAACCTAATTTGTCATGAAACGGGGCCTTTCAGAGGAGAGCTCCAGTGGGAATCCCTGTCCCAAAACGTCCTGCCCGGCTTTCCTCCTCTGGCGCCCGTGGAGCAGCAGCCGTCAGGACACCATGAGGCTAAGACTACACCCTTGTAGTGCAGAGTCGAGCAAGGGGTGCCACCTGGGAACGTCAGTTCTCTTTGATACTTGCAGGTCAGGCCTCCTTGGGGCTGAGGGTCAGTCCGCCGGCCCCTTAGTGAGAACTCCCTGGCTTTTCCGTCCACCCTGTCCTGAGGGCCTTTCTTGCTGTGACAGTATTTGTGGCACTGAAGAGGATAAAGAAGCTTCAGCCTTCTTTCTGACTTCCACTTTACGGGGCAGAGAGCTTTTTTTCTACGTAGCACATTGCAGTCTCACCTCCATCAGAAAAAATCATCCTGTTCATGGTTTATACTGAATTTGCAAACTACTGATATTATTTTTCAATAACCACTTGTATCTACCATCAACCATGAGAGGTGGGAAGAGGTACGCTGTATCTCTGCAATAAAACTTTTGCCAGGTTCTACCTCTGCTGAGCAAAGGATACTTTTATACGTAGGCATAGATCTTCCTTCCTTTACTGATCTGACATGGTGCATCTTGAGACAACATATGATGGAATCCAAAGACAATTTGAAACAAAGGTGGATGTAAACTCTTCTGGTTGTTTCTGTTCTGTTCTCTTTTTTAAAATCTCTCTTTTTATATTGCTACTCTGTTTTGAATGTCCGTCAGTGTATGAAGGGTACGCACTGTTCTGATGATACTGCACTGCTTCAGCCTTCCGTGGTAATACAGTACCGAGTGTCCAGAAACGATTGTTCTGACCGTTTTGATTTGTAACTTTAAAAATTGGGTCTCATGCAATAAAAATGTATTGGCTGCATTTAGCGAGGTTTTATACCCTTGCAAGTAAAAACGATCAACCATGAAGCGTAATGAATTCTGTATTTAGGTTTTTTGTTGTGTCTTTTGATTTTTGTTTTTCTGTTTTTTTTTCCTTTTTTTGTAAGATTCTTAAATAAATTAAACTGGCTAATATGCTGCTTTTCTCTGTGTATTTTCTTTGTCTGGGTTCTGAGCACCCGTTTAAGCTGTGTCAGGGCAACCACGCTCACCTAGAGAGCTTCTTTCCGTTGGGGGCTCGGACTTCTTTTATGTTGGTTTTTTATTTTAAGTGAATTCTAGAAGACTTCTCACGATGTGGAGAAAATGCAACCCAGCATTTGTTAGAGTCAGAAATGTCCGTGCTGCTGCAGAGCTTCAGTGAGTCAGCACCGGGTGCCCAGGCCGGGGGGCTTGGGTCATGGGGTGTCCTCCCTGAAAGGTGCCAAGAGTGTTGGAGGACTTGGGGGTATGAGGCTTCCTATTTAAAATTCGTTCCTGATGGTGCACAGCCATCCAGTCTGTGAGTCGTAAGATTGGAGCTCTGCTTAAGAAAAAACAAAACGGAAACTACTGCAGACAACATAGCGTGTGCCAGTCACTGTGGGGTGCTTTCTGTAGTGCTTTCCGTAGTCCTCAGTCCTCCTCTAGTTTTCAGATGAAAAGCCTTTTAGTTTCTAATTTTCGTGGAAATTCGTGCCTGTATTTCTTCTATTTATTTTTGGCTGTGTTGTGTCTTCGTTGCTGTGCGCGGGCTTTCTCTAGTTGCGGCGAGCAGGGGCTACTCTTCGTTGTGATGCACGGGCTTCTGATTGTGGTGGCTTCTCTTTCTGTGGAGCACAGGCTCTAGGTGCGCGGGCTTCAGTAGTTGTGGCACGTGGGCTCTAGAACGCAGGCTCCGTAGTTGTGGTGCACAGGCTTAGTTGCTCTGCGGCATGTGGGATCTTCCCGGACCGGGGTTCAAACACTGTCCCCTGCATTGGCAGGTGGATTCTTAACCACTGCGCCACCAGGGAAGCCCAAGTGCCTGTATTTCATGTTTCTTCACTAAGTGTTTAATAAGCAACTGCTGTGTGTCTATGTCGGGCCACATGCAGTCCTCAGTAGAGACTCCTCGTGGGTAGTTATTCTCATGTCAGAGATAGCAAACGAGCGAGCAAGTTAAGGTTCCGGTGGTCGCGGGAGCTAAGAAGGAGACATTAGGGATGCTGGGTGCCTGATGGGGGGCCCAGGAGGTGACCGACAGTCCACTGGCACCAGCCTGCCTTGAGGAGGCTGCCGTGGATGGAGAGAAGGGAGTGTGGTGAGCCCTGGGGTTCATCGATGGAGAAGTAATGACCTGACAAGAGATCCAGTCAGCTCCTTGCACTGGGCTTGGGAAGCTAGAGAAATTGGGAATGAACAGGAGAGAAGACACCACAGGACACCCAGAACAGTGAGTAGATCCCTTTGCCCTGAGTGTGTGTGTGTGTGTGTGTGTGTGTGTGTTTAAACCTCCCTCCCCTATGCCGTATGAGTGCTGGCGCTCTCACTTTACAGGTGAGATGGGCACAGAGGTCAGGGAAGCAGCAAGGGGCGGTCTGGGCCAGGAGTCCATGCCGCTGTCCTCTAGACACGGACAGAGGCATTTGTAAATGGTTGGAGTCTGGCTTGTTTGCAAGTCTTTTCTTTGTGGGGTTTGAAATGCTTGAGAAAGTCGTGTTCAGTTTGTAGCTGGAAATGCTTAAAGGAATTTAATCAAATTTGTAAACGATGTTTACATTTAGGGAAATTTAGTCTGCCAAATACGTGAGATAATTGAGCATTAATTGAAGAACAAGTGAAAGGGGAGTGTTTTACATTTTAACTAAAATTTTCCTAAAATATTTCTAAGTCGTGCTTGAAGAGTGAAAGGAAACTTCTTCTTGAATATATAACCTTAATAAATTGAGTATTAATTTGAATAAGAAACGAGAGGCCAGACTTCATGTAGAGCCTCCACTGTCCCCACTGAGTTTTTCTGTTGCGGTTCCAGTTTGCTTTGACCTTGTTCCCCTTCAGTGTTTTAATCTGTAATCCAGTCTGCTTTCAGCCTCACGTTGTGTCTCCCAGGGCCTCAGCACCGTTGACATTTGGGCTGGGCCATTCTTTGCAGAGAGTGGGGTGATGTGGGGACCGTCCTGTGCATTGTAGAGTGTAGAGCAGCATCCTTGCTTCCACCCACTAGGTGCCAGTAGTACACACTGTGTACCCTGCACCCCCCAGTTATGGAAATCCAAAATGTCTCCAGACATGGCCTAATGTCCTCCTGAGGATCAAAATCGCCTCTAAGCAAATTAATCATACAGAGGCAAAAGCTGGTGTCTGATCTGTGTGTGTGTGTGCACAAATTTGTGTGTGTTTTACAGAGGACAAGACCCATGAGCAAGGGGGCACCACCCTTGAGATAACAGAAAATACAAACTTTAACTGGCTGGGGGTTTGGAGTATGTACAATACAATTTCCATAAGTATGAATATTTATCAGCTAGTCATTTGAGAGCATGATGTAAAGAAGCCATCTGTGGAGGCCTTTATGGAGAGAAAAGAGGCTAAAAGAAATGTGCAAAATGTTTATTTTTAGAGCCCAACTCTCAGCAAGTTGGCTTCGTCCTCTGAAAGCTGCCCACTCTGGGCGTCAAGTGCATCGTTGGGTTAGGAGAGGCGAGTGCCACACTGCTGGTTCCAAGTCACCATCCACCTAAGAATTACCACCAGGTAGCATGCAAAGGTAGGATGGCTGGGTGGACACCACATTAGTCTGGGATACTTAATTTTTATGTTTTTGATTGGTAGTTTGCTTGAATAAGTAATACCAACACCTGACACAAGTCAACAGGCAGATGAGAACATACAGTGAACGTTCGCGCTCTGCTCCTCCCGCTTGGCCCCCGTTCTTCTTTCCAAGGCAGCCATTCTCGCCAGTTTCTTCAGTATCCTTTCTTGGGGAACTTTAGAGGGTAAATTTCTGAGTATCGCAATAAATGCTCGAGCTTCTGTTGTTTATCTTTGGTTGTAGGCAAGATTCATTTTCACAAAGATTGATGTGCAATTACTGGAGAAATCCAAATTAGAATAAATTATTAATTGTAGGAAATTGAGAAATTCATGAACCTTCAGTAGAAAGGTGTTTTGTGAAGATGTCCACTGTTTAGAGCCATAAGAGGTCTCTAGAATCCCCTTTTTCATCTTCAGGCCTAGATCAAGATAAAATACGGTGCTCTCAATTTCTGCAGTAGTACTGGATTTTCTGTTTAGCTTTCTTTTCCCCCCGTTTGTTTTTACATGTGTGTTTCCTGTTCAGAGGTATTGGCGTGGAAAGCTGTTGGTCGTGTCCTCACGTTTGCATGCCCCATTTCTTTCTTTCTTTGGCTGCATCGGGTCTTGGTTGCAGCATGCGGGCTTCTCTCTAGATGTGGCCTGCGGGTTTTCTCTTCTCTAGTTGTGGCATGCAGGCTCCAGGGTGTGTGGGCTCTCTAGCTGTGGTGTGCAGGCTCCAGGGCATGTAGGCTCTGTACTTTGTGGCATGTGAGCTTGGTAGTTGTGGCGCACAGGCTTAGTTGCCCTGCGGAATGTGGGATCTTAGTTCCTGGACCAGGGATTGAACCCTCGTTCCCTGCCTTGAAAGGTGGATTCTTTACCACTGGACCATGGGAAGTCCTGCATGCCCCATTTTTGATTTTCTATCGTAGATCAGACTTAAGAAACAAACTTTTGGGCTTCCCTGGTTGCGCAGTGGTTAAGAATCTACCTGCCATTGCAGGCGCCACAGGTTCGATCCTTGGTCTGGGAAGATCCCATGTGCTGTGGAGCAACTAAGCCTGTGCGCCACAACTACTGAGCCCGTGCTCTAGAGCCCGCGAGCCACAACTACTGAGCCCATGTGGCACAACTACTGAAGCCCGCGTGCCTAGAGCCTGTGCACAGCAGCAAGAGAAGCCACCGCAATGAGAAGCCTGAGCACCTCAACGAAGAGTAGCCCCCGCTCGCCGCAACTAGAGAAAGCCCGCGTGCAGCAGCGAAGACCCAGCATAGCCAAAGATAAACAAATAAAATAAATAAATTTATTTTAAAAAAAACAACTTGATATAAAGTATGGTTTTACTGTCCTGAGGATATAAACCACACTGGAGTCACTAACTACTGATTTAATCATGACACTTCACCCACAGCTTGTCTGGTTGTCAAACTGTTCGGTCTGATTGCCTTACTTAACTAGTTTCTTCAGTCAGTGGTCTCCAAACTTTTTTGGTCACATGTTCTAATAAGTGTTTCTGAGTATACTTCCACTATTGTTTATTAAGTTATTTATAAGGCCTATGTGTACTTCTGTGCTAATATGTATGTGGTAAATCCCACATAAATAGGAATTCTAATATTCCCTCCGGTGAATCACCCTTCTTACCATGTGAGGCAGGTGCACCCCACTTTGGAGCTGATTGCCCCAGAATGGTGATGGAAACAGTGTCAAAATGATTTCAAGGCCTTCCCGGGCTGACGTTTTTCCTTAGAGAAAATGGCACGTGTGTTGTCTGTCTGCCTTCTTAGGATGTTGGCGTTTTGAGAATTCTTAGAGCTTCATCCCGTTCAACCTCCGTAGTCTTACAGATGAAACTAAGGCCCGGGTAGGTTAAACAAGTTATTTGAGGCCTAAAGAGAGGTTCATGGTGGATCCAGAACTAAAATTTATCTCCTGAGGTTCTTGCAGGCCAAGCTCTTTCACTAGGCTCCTCCTCCTCCTTCATCTGCTCTAATCCCTGGCAAGCCACTCTGTGACATGTCCATTAAACTAATAAGGGACCATTCTAGATCCTTCTAAAACCGCTCATTTAAAGGGACCTATTTGGAGTTCAGGGTTTTTGAGCCCAAGCCACCCGTTCTCTTTGCCTGACACTGCAACAAATCTTTCTTTGCTGAAAAAAATAAAAATAAAGGGACCTATTTGAGGGAGTTTCACACAGATGTTTTTAGTGGAGCCACTAAGAATGGTTTTTTTCCCCTTTTTAGGGGTTTTAACTCTCAGAGGAGAAAGGGAAAAAAATCCGGATCCTTTTTTTTTTTTTCCTGCGGTACGTGGGCCTCTCATTGTTGTGGCCTCTCCCGTTGCGGAGCACAGGCTCCGGACGCGCAGGCTCAGC